AATTATAAAACTTTAAGTTCCAACTCATCTTTAAAAAAAAATAATAACTTGAAGCACGATAGGAAATCTTTTATATTGGCTGCATGTTCATCCAGGAACCAACCTTACTATCTTTCCTTTCATCAGTAATTATCTCTGACTCATACCCGATAAGATCTCCAATTCATGGTTATACCATACAGTTTGCATATATCAGGTAATTGATTCCACCTTCTGGAGTCGCTGAGTCATAATACTGTAGTCGCAGACTTTTTTGCTTTACCACATAACGGAAGCAGACAAATCATTTCAGCACTCCTGCCCCAAATGGCCTCTGTGCGAGCTGAATGTAGGTCATCACAGATAGACGATGATGCGAGATGCCACGCTTTCAGGAAACACTGCCTCCTGCTTTCGAAAACACGCCTTTTTCTCTCACTGTTTTAGAGAGATTTTGCCTTCAACACAACTGAACATTTTGAATTACATAACATTGACTATATGGAACACATTTACAGACCTTAAACCATTGAATCTTGTAGATGAGGAATGCAGGCTCAAAAGTTTAGCCAGTTTGTTCAAAGCTTAATATATAACCCCAAAGCCAGTAGTTCCCAAACTACCTGCATATCGGGATCACATATACAGAATTCCATCTCTGGCTAGTCCCACGGGTGGATCATAGGTAGTTTCTCTCTACAGTCTATTAGTATCTGCTATTTGTGGCTTGTTTTTATTTTCTAGATGCACTTCAGCCAAGAAAGGAAACTTTATTTTTATAAGCCAAGGAATATGTGAACAGTATAGTAAATTATTAGTAGCTTGTCTTGAGCTGCCTCTTTTCTTTTTTCTGGAATAGGTTTTTATCAGGAAATGAATGGAAAGAGAAGTCTTGACACCAGTAGTGGCTGCAGCAGTGGGGCTGTAAACTGTCCAGGGAGGGTAATTGGGGAGGCAGCCCTGATCCATAGCATATGTTTACTTCCATGGTATAAATACGGTCACCATGGAAAACTTTAAACTACTGATGGTTTAATATGTGCTCACAAATGTTCTTAATATTTTACAATTGGCCCAAAAAACAGATTCAGCATACTACTAGGTTTTAGATTATATTGGGGGGAAACTGAACAATTTACTAACATTATCTAAATTGTCCATTAGGTGGTTCAAATAGGTTGTGAACTTCCCAAACAACACTCTGTTGGCCTCATGCCCTGACTTCCAGAAAAACTGAGTGTCTTCTACCCCCGTCCTCATTGCTCCCTCAGTTTCCAAGAACATGCTCTGATATATCTGGGGCAAAATGATGGAATGGATGGAGCTAGTAGACGGAGTGTTTGGTGGAAGAGAAGTGGATGTCCTCTTTCCCTCTTACCTGCCTTATAGAGCAGGGGTAGTCCTATGAAAGAGCTGCCCTCCACTATCTTTGACAGGCCTTGTAGGACCAGGGTGGGAATGAAATACAGTTTAAGCAAGTTTGGCTTTAAACCTGAGAGAGAAAAAGGAGGTGAAGCTCTGTTTCCATTCACCACAGGAGAAAGACACAGATGGTCAAAGCCGGGTGTAAGATCAACTTTAGTGTTGACCAGCAAAGGGTCAAAGATAGCACTGGCCTGCTTTTAATTCACGAGTTAAGCTACAGGGACAGACTGGTTTCAGAGCCCCCAGCTGACCCACACTCAGCAGGGCACAACCATAGTCTGGTGACAGAGACTTCTTCTTCCTGAAGTAGCCTTTGTGCAGCAGAAACTGAGTGATGATGGCATTTGGGCCCTGAGTATGCCAACATGCCCAATGCTACCACATGTAAAAGTACCAAAACATAGTCCAAAACTAAATGTAAATGATTCCAGGATCATTTACATTTTAGATTAGTTGTTCCTTTGGTAAATTTCCAAAAGTGGGGATAAATATTTTTTTTGAGTGTCTACAACTACAACAAAGGTACAAAATCCATCCTGGGTACCCAATTAAAACATTGTTCTATGTAAGGATAAACTTGTGTTAACTCAATTTCATTCTGGTTGAACCCATTTGTACAATATATCTATATGCCCGTATACTCTTTATTCCTGACTAGAAAGGTAGGTGTTTCATTTATCTTCTAAGAAAGCAAAGTTAGATTTTTAATTCCCAAATGAATCAGAGAACTGAATCACAGTACGACTCAAGTTTAATACTAGAGAGTAGGCAGCGTGGATAGATTTCAAGTAAGAAGACCTAGATTTGATTTACCAGCTATGAGATCTTGGTCCAGTCATTTAATCTAAGAGTGTTTTCCTGTTTGTAAAATGATATCTTTTATGTTTAAATCTCATGATATCATTCCTAAGCAAATTATCATGTTCTTTATCCTTAATTCTCAAAATCATCTTGTAGGTGTTCTTAAGAGTTCAGATTCCCAAAGAGATGCAGAGATGAAAGCAAAAATGAACATGCAGTTTCCATATGCACATATGTGCTTTTTGTTCTAGTTCTCAAGCAGGGACACATGGGAATCTCAGCTTCTAGGGTGAAGGTGGGGGAGTGAAAAAGCAAGGGTGGAAGGTGTGTGCATTTTGGAAAAACTTCCATTGTGATTCTGATGTTCTCTCTCCAGTCCAGTTTATGAAGTATCAATTTTGACAAAAATTATCACCACTTTATAAGACTGGTTTGGTTATATATACATATATGGAGGGATGAAATTAACTGCTAAAGGAAATGAGGAAACTTTTTAGAATACTGGAAATGTAATGTTTCTTGTGTTGGTTTCAGATGTATACATTCTTTCCAAACTCGAGCTGTAATTTTTTTAAATGATTGAAGTTTATTATACATGAAAGAATATCTTAATAAAATTTGTTAAAACATTGAGTTAGCATTCCCAGCTCCTAAATACCATCAAATCTCATGAACCATTTCTCTAGTAAACTACTTACCCAATTCAAATGCAGGTCCTTTGAACTGATCTTTTAGTTCGAGTGATGAAACAATACTGATCCCTCAACATTGCCCTGAGCTTTGGAGAGGTGGTCAGCAGTACAAGAATGGAGTAAAGACCTCATGAGAATCATACCCTAACCCACCCAACACTTGATAGATCAAGTTCATGTGGAGTGATTTATTCCAGTGTGTGAACCCAGACTTTACCATCTATAGCTTAGGTAAGATAGACTGAGCTATGCAGTTCTCTGCAAGATAGCTGTAATTCCTTTCTTTATTGTAAATCAGTAGTCAGCCATTGAAAACTCTGTCCTAGCCAACTAACCATCTCTCAATTCCAAATTTACTTTGCAACTAATATGCCTCAGTAGACCTTTATACAGAATCCAAGATGATTTGTGTTCAAAAATCCACTTATACACTAATTTTTAACTTTTATTTCCATATTTAGTGCCTTTTTAACTTTTTTTTTCAACAAACTTATTTTACAAGGCCAGTGAAATGTAAGCAAATAATTGTTCGTCCCAGTTCTTTATAACCCCACTAGAGTTCCAGTGCACAAAATTTGTGCATGGGAGGGGTCCTTCAGCCCAGCCTGCACCCTCTCAGATTGCACCTAAACCGGCAGTCAGACATCCTTTTCATAATCCAGGACCACCAGCTCCTAACTGCTCACCTGCCTGCCTGCCTGATGCTCTCAACTGCTCCCCTGCAGGCCTGATCCCCCTAACTGCCTAACTGCTCTCCCCTGCAGGCCTGATCCCCCTAACTGCTCTCCCCTGCCAGCCTTATCACCTCTAACTGCCTCTGCCTCAGCCCCGCCACCGTGGCTTTGTCTTGAAGGATGTCCAAAACATGTCTGGCCTAATTAGAATATTATCCTTTTATTAGTATAGATGATAATACTCAGATCTTTGACAAACTTACTGTGAATTGATGATTTTTGTATAAGCACTTTTGACCAAAGAAAGCAATTTAGAACAGATTATTTGTTTTCTAACCAATAAGCACAAATAATCCTTTATTTTATCTTCAGTACATTTTATGCACTATTATAAAATTTCTATTTATTGTTATAAAAACTCTATTTTAAAAAAATTACATTTATCGTGATTTGCAAAGTAAAGACAGAACATGTCCTATGAGTGAAGAAGTATAGTCAAAAAGTTTGTGTTAAATTTTTAAAAAATTATTCTGCCTTGGAAACTTTATATTTTTCTACATTTATACAAAAATATCATGGACTTGGTTTCATTGCATTTGGATTGCTGCAAAAGCACTATTACATTTGACTAACCTTTTATGAGTAAAATGTTCCTAAAATATAATTATTTGTTCCATGTACTAATATTTTGGAGAATTATTATGTTAATAATAAACAGGGAATTGAAATACTTGATTTTTATTTTGAAATATCTACAAAGTTTTAGTTTTCCATTATACAAATCATTTTTCAAAATTCAGACATTATTCAAATGTAAGCCAGTACTTATACAAATAGAACACACACAAAGATAAAAAATATACATATTTTCTCAGCAAACTTTGTTACATAAATAAGAAAAATATATACAGCTAGTGTTTTAAATCTAAAATAAAGTATCTTAACATTATAACCACATACGAAAGTTACTAAAAAATAAACACTACAGAAAAATAAGAGCAAAACATTAATTTTATGACATCTACAATTATAAAGATAATAGAAGCAATATTAGAGAAATATATTCTTTACACTCAGATCTTAATTTTTACTTAACTTAGAATATTTTCTGGATAGGTAAAATTCACAATTCTACCAGCTATCCATAACACTAAAACAAAAGTTAGGACACATGAAGAACTTTATAATCTATATCTTTATAATTTGGAATAAATGTAAAAAGAATTTTTTAAAAGTTAAATTTGTATAAACCTGTGTCAAAATTTTCCAAGTAAATTGAATTGGCTATTGAAAAATCAAATAATTCTTCTTAAGTAGGAATTGTTAGGAAAAAATCCAAGTACTTAAAAAGTCTTAACAGAATGAAGCAATAAAGAAAAATTGTGCCAATAGTTCCCTAGATAAAAGCAACTCAAATAGGTGTGTTTAATTATAATTTGCCCCAGAAATTCTCCTTCCTTTTCCGAGCTCGTGCCAGAGTTTGAAAAGCCCGGAGACTAGAAGCCGCAGAGCGAGCAGAAATCTCAGATAATCTGTCTTCATCTGCAATGAAAGAATTATAGTCAGTGCAAAAAATACCTTATAAGAATATTGTTTATAACAATAACAGAAAAGAAAAAGCATTAAGCTTTGTAACATCAATATTGACTGACAGAAAAAAGTACTCTATTGAAATATAAGATACTAATATTTTCAGTACAGTTCATAGTAAATTTACCAAGTTTACTATATTCAGAATGAAACATTTAAATGTTAAATGAGCATTCTGTCTCCTTCCTGAAATCCCACAATGTCATCACCTCAACACACAGCTTATGCTTTCAGTATTACCTGGAAACAATTCATCATCAGACTGTCCTGTCCTACTTTAAAAAGTACAGCTGTTCTGAGTGAAAAGCTTTTTAAAACTTCTTAAAAACAAAATGCCATCGCTTAGCATGGTATTTACATCACATTTAAAATAATCTTACTTAATGTAGAAATATTATTTGACTTTAATATGCTACCTTTCATTATTACTGAAATTCCTCACTCTGAGTAAGCAAATCTATTATACGATTATTTGTAAATGTTGTTCTTCCATTAAAAAGAAAACAGAACTGGATTCAAATTGTCCAGATATTTGCGTTTGAAAACATAATAACTTAATTTCCAGCTCACTAAATTCTGAAAAAACGTCCCAAACTTGCTAAGGGGAAAAACAACTTTAATGTACATGAACTTAAAATACATAAAGTATTAATTTAAATTTACTTTCAAACCCAAAGTTTACAAATTCAGTAATTTCATATTTCTAAGGATAAATTAAAATTGTCATTTCAGTTGTTCATATCAAGAATTCAAAATTTCTCCTGCCCCTATTAGAAGCAAATGAATTTGTCATTATGAAAACTACACCAAAAAAAGCTCATTTTTCAAAATTATATATTTTTGGAATTAAAAATTGATAAAAATATATCGCATTTGGAAAAATAATGGATATAATGCTAGTCCAAATTCCACCTACATGGGGGAAAACAGAGAGGGTATGGACTTCAGTGTGATGTGAGGCTCAATCTTTTATCACCTGTTTGCTTTAGAAACTATTTACCGGGGCTCTAGGACTCAGTTTACTCATTTGTAAAATAGAGATAACTTCACCTCCCTCATAAGATTTCAAGGATCCAATGAAGTAACACCTGGTGGAAGTACTGTGTAAAGTATACAGTGCTGATCAATTGTAAGATGATTATATTATTATAAACTAAATGCCATATAATAAGCTTCATACTTTTATCTTGTGTTATTGACTATGGAAATACCTTCATCAAAGGCATCATGCTGCGGTAACTGGAAATCGTTCTGCCTTGCTTTTCCCACTTAAAAAAAATAAGAGGCACAAGAAATTATCTTTCAAAGCTACCCAACAGTATATCTTATTTATAGCAAACCCTTAGTGAAAGTTAGCTATCAAAAATTTTATTAGCCCTAACCAGTTTAGCTCAGTGGATAGAGCCATCGGCCTGGTGACTGAAGGATCCCAGGTTCAATTCTGGTCAAGGGCATATGCCTGAGTTGCAGGCTCAATCCCCAGTAGGGGGCGTACAGATGCAGCTGATCAATGGTTCTCTCTCATCATTGATGTTTCTATCTCTCTCTCCCCCTTCCTCTCTGAAATCAATAAAAATATATTCTTAAGATATAAGTGGAGGGAAACCATGAAGCAACCATTTTGTTCTCCTAATGGCTCAGCATTTGGGAGTACAGAGTAGCACTGAAAGTTGAAGTGAGAATAGGACTGAACCAGGAGACTGGTTGGATACTAGGAATATTGGGGGAAACCCTGTGTAAAGTGTATGATTGTCTAACCACTATACTGTACACCTGAAACAAAATATTAAAAATAACTACTTATAATTAAAAAATAAAAACTTAAAAAAAAAGACTGCCAGATCCTTCCTTAAATTTGCCCAGGTTTCGTCTCTAAAGGCTTATCAAAGCTACTGAGATCACATATATTATTTATCTTATGAAAGAGATAAAACATGTGATCCATAAAATAAAAACAGGATGCTGTATTTAAAAAATGCAGTGTTAAAAAAATTCTTAAAAGTTAAAAATAGAGCCAATTAAAATGTGTAACCCTTTCAAATTAAAATAAAAAGACAGAGATGGCAAATAAGAGAGGTAAGGTAAGAAAATAAGATTATGGTTACTTGGTCAACACCTGAATAATAGGTGTATCAGAAAAAAGAGAAAACAGAAAATGGAAGGGAATAAATTACTTACTAAACAACTCACGAAAATGTCCCAGAAGTGAGGAACTGAAAAGGCCTACTGAGTATCAGCAATATGAATGACAAAAAGAACTATTGGAAACCCACACCGGAGAAGTCCATCGAGCAGCTGAGACGCCCGAATCGGCACAATCACGTGGATTCAAGGAAGTTCTTCAGTCACCCACGGAAAGGAAAAGGCCATGGGGAGACAAAAAAATAGTCCGCACATGAAAGAAAAGCAGACATCACCAGAAAAGGAAGTAAAGGAGTCAGAAAGTAAAGGAGTCAGAGGCAAGCAGCCTACCAGAGCAAGAATTCAGAATAATGATCATAGGATGGCTAAAAAGAATGGAAGAGAAATTTGACAATAACCAAGAAGAAATGAGGAAGAACCATGAGGAATTGAAGAAGAACCATGAGGAATTGAAGAAAAACCAAGAAGAAATGAAAAATGATATCGCTACCAGGAAGAACTCAATAGAAAGCATCAAGAGTAAACTAGATGAAGCAGAGGACTGCATCAGTGAGCTAGAAGGTAAGATGGAAAAAAATACCCAATTAGAGCAGCTTCTAGAAAAAAAGATTAAAAAGTAGGAGGAGAGCCTACGGGAGCTTTGGGACAATACAAAACAAAATAATATTCGAATAATAGGGGTTCCAGAAGGAAAGGAAACTGAGGTAGACATGGAAAAAGTATTTCAAGAAATAATGACAGAAAACTCTCCTGAGATAGAGAAGAAAAAACCCACACAAATCCAAGATGCTCGCAGAGTCCCAAGCAAATGAATCCCAGAAGACAGACTCCAAGGCACATTATAATTAAATTGGCAAACAACAAGGACAAAGTAAGAATCTTAAAAGCAGCCAGAGAGAGACAGAAAGTTACATACAAAAGAACCCCCATCAGACTAGCAACTGATTTCTCAACAGAAACTTATCAGGCCAGAAGGGAATGGGATGAAATATACAAAGTCATGCAAAGGAAGGGTCTGAATCCAAGAATACTGTACTCAGCAAGGCTATCCATCAAAACTGAAGGGGAAATCAGGAGCTTCACAGACAAAAAAAGACTGAAGGAATTTATCTCCACCAAACCAGCAATGCAAAAAATGCTAAAGAGTCTACTGTAAAAATAAAGAAATAGGAAGCGAAGAAGGAACACGGGTATAGAATAAAAATGGCGTCAAATGAGTACCTATCAATAATAACCTTAAATGTAAATGGATTAAATGCTCCAATCAAAAGACATAGGGTAACAGATTGGATAAGAAAACAAGACCCATACATCTGTTGTCTACAAGAAACCCACCTCAGAAAAAAAGATGCACATAGACTGAGGGTGAAGGGATGGAAAAAAGTTTTCCAGGCAAATGGAAATGAAAAAAAGCTGGGGTAGCAATACTTATATCTGACAAATTAGATCTCAGAGTGAAGGACATAACAAAAGATAATGAAGGCCACTTCATAATACTAAAGGGAACAATCCAACAAGAAGAAATAACCGTGGAAAATATATATGCACCCAATACAGGAGCAACCAAATACATAAAAAAAAAAACTGCTGGAGGACATTAAGAGAGAGATTAATAGCAATACAATCATAGTAGGAGATTTTAATACCCCACTGTCACCCTTTGACAAATCATCTAAACAAAAAATCAGCAAAGAAATATCAATCCTAAATAACTCACTAGACCAGATGGAGTTAATTGACATCTTCAGAACACTCCACCCCAAAGCGACAGAATATATATTCTTCTCAAGTGCACATGGGACATTCTCAAAGATAGGCCACATTTTGGGACATAGGCAAAGTCTCTTCAAATTCAAGAAGATAGAAATCATATCAAGCATCTTCTCAGACCATAATGGCATAAAACTGTAAATTAACTACAATAAAAATAATCCAAAGAAATCAAACACATGGAGACTAAACAGCATGCTATTAAACAAGGACTGGGTTACCAGAGAAATCAAGGAAGAAATTAAAAACATCCTGGAAACAAATGACAATGAAAACACAACAATCCAAAATCTATGGGACACAGCAAAAGCAGTTTTGAGAGGGAAGTTCATATCCTTACAAGCCTATTGCAAAAAACTAGAAAAAATGGTAACAGATGATCTAACTCTACAACTCAAAGAGTTAGAAAAGGAGCAACAAGAAAAGCCCAGCATAAGCAGAAGGAAGGAAATAACAAAAATCAGAGCAGAGATAAACGACATAGAGACCAAAAAAACAATACATAAGATCAACAAAACCAAGAGCTGGTTCTTTGAAAGAATAAACAAGATAGATGAACCTCTAGCCAGGCTAACCAAGAAATGAAGAGAGAGGACCCAAATAAACAAAATCATAAATGAAAGAGGTGAAATAACAACAGACCCCACCGAAATACAACGGATTGTTACAAAATACTACGAACAACTCTATTCCAACAAACTGAACAACCTGGATGAAATGGACATATTCCTAGAAAAATACAAAATTCCAAAACTCAATCAGGAAGAATCTAAAAATATCAATAGATCAGTGACTTGGGAAGAAATTGAAAACAGTCATCAAAAAGCTTCCAGCAAACAAAAGCCCAGGGCCAGATGGCTTCACAGGAGAGTTTTACCAAACATTCAAGGAAGAACTAAAACCTATCCTCCTCAGACAATTCCAAAAGATCCAAGAGAAAGGAACACTTCCAAACTCCTTCTATGAAGCCAGCATCACCCTAATACCAAAACCAGATAAAGACAACTCAATGAAAGAGAATTACAGGCCAATATCCCTCATGAACATATCGATAGATGCCAAAATCCTCAACAAAATTCTAGCAAATAGACTCCAGAAGAACATCACAAAGATCATACACCGTGGCCAAGTAGGATTTATTCCAGGAATGCAAGGATGGTATAATACAATATCGGCAAATCAATAAACGTGATACATCACATAAACAAATTGAAGGATAAAAATCATATAGTCATATCAATTGATGCAGAAAAAGCATTTGATAAAATCCAACACCCTTTCCTGATAAAAACTCTTAACAAGGTGGGAGTACAAGGATCATACCTCAACATAATAAAAGCTATATATGATAAACCCACAGCCAACATTATACTCAATGGGCAAAAACTAAAACCATTCCCTCTAAGAACAGGAACAAGACAGGGATGCCCACTCTCGCCACTCCTGTTTGACATAGTACTGGAAGTATTAGCCATTGCAATTAGACAAGAGGAGGAAATAAAAGGCATCCAAATTGGAAAAGAAGAAGTAAAGTTATCCTTATTTGCAGATGACATGATATTGTACATAAAAAACCCAAAAGACTCCATTAAAAAAACTAATTGACTTAATAAATGAATTTGGCAATGTAGCAGGATACAAAATTAACGCCAAGAAATCCATGGCATTTCTATACACCAATAGTGAAACTATAGAAACAGAGACTAAAAAAGCAATTCCATTTACCATCGCACCAAAAAAATTAAGATACCTAGGAATAAATTTAACTAAGGAAGTAAAAGACCTATATGTGGAAAACTACACGACACTGAAAAAAGAGATAGAGGAAGATGTAAAGAGATGGAAGAACATACCATGTTCATGGATTGGTAGAATCAACATCATCAAAATGCCCATACTTCCTAAACCAATCTATAGGTTCAATGCACTCCCCATTAAAATACCAACGGCATATTTCACTGACCTAGAAAGAACTCTCAAAAAGTTCATTTGTAACAATAAAAGACCCCAAATATCCACAACAATCCTGAGAAGGAAGGGTAAAGTAGGAGGGATCTCAACACCAGACTTCAAACTGTATTAAAAAGCCACTGTTCTCAAAACAGCCTGGTACTGGCACAAGAACAGACATATAGATCAATGGAATAGAATCAAGAACCCAGATATCAACCCAAATCACTATGCTCAATTAATATTTGACAAAGAGGAGGCACGAATATACAATGGAGTCAAGACAGTTTCTTCAATAAATCGTGTTGGGAACATTGGACAGACACTGCAAAAGAATGAAACTAGATCACCAACTTACACCATACACAAAAATAAACTCAAAATGGATACAGGACTTAAACATCAGACGGGAAACCATAAAAATACTAGAAGCATCTACAGGCAGCAAAATCTCAGACGTATGCCAAAAGAACTTCTTCACTGATACTGCCCCTAGGGCAATGGAAGCTAAAGAGAAAATAAACAAATGGGACTACATCAAAATAAAAAGCTTTTTTACAGCAAAAGAAACCATCAACAAAACAACAAGAAAGCCCACTGTGTGGGAGAACATATTTGCAAATAATACCACTGATAAAGGTTTAATCTCCAACATCTACAGACAGCTGATACAACTAAATAAAAGGAAGATGAATGATCCAATTAAGAAATGGGCAATGGACCTAAATAGAATATTTTCAAAAGAAGACAGAAGGAAGGCCAAAAGGCACATGCTCAAAGTCACTAATTATCCAAGATATGCAAATCAAAACAACAATGCGGTACCATCTCACACCTGTCAGAATGGCCAACTTCAACAAATCAACAAACAACAAGTGTTGGCGAGGTTGCAGAAAAAAGGAACCCTCGTGCACTGCTGGTGGGAATGCAGACTGTTGCAACCACTGTGGAGAACAGTGTGGAGTTTCCTCAAAAAACTGAAAATGGAACTCCCATTTGACCCAGTAATCCCACTTCTAGGAATATATCCTAAGAAACTAGAAACACCAATCAGAAAGGATATATGCACCCCTATGTTCATAGTAGCACAATCTACAATAGCCAGAATTTGGAAACAGCCTAGATGCCCATCAGCAGATGATTGGATCAAAAAACTGTGGTACATCTACACAATGGAATACTATGCTGCCATAAAAAAGAAGGAATTCTCATCATTTGCAGCAACCTGGATGGAAATGGAGAACATCATGCAGAATGAAATAAGCCAATCAATGAAAGAGAAACACCACATGACCTCACTCATTTGTGGATAATGAAGAACATTATAAACTGATGAACCAAAAGATACATATGGAGACAGTAAAGCAACAAGCAGATTGTCAAATTACAGCGGGGAAGGGAGGAGGATCTGGGGGAGATAACAGATCAACAGAAGGACTTGTATACATGCATATAAGTACAACTAATGGACTTAAAACTCTGGGGAGGGAGGGTATGTGTGGGAAAGAGGGAGGGGGGCAAAAAAATCATTAAAATATGTAAAAATAAATAAATAAATAAATAAATAAATAAATAAATAAATGAAAAAAAAGAATTATTGTAAAATTTCATATTAGGTATAAAGAAATGATCGAAAAAAAACTTCCAGGAATAAAAAGACCCATAGAAAAGATAAAAAATAAAGAAAGCAACAGACTTCTCAGTGGTAATGGTATAAGCTAAAAGAGAGCAAAGCAATACCCAATAAACCTAAAGGAAAAAGTTTACTGAATTCTATAAGTAGGCAACATTTGACAATGTATGAAGACATTTTTGGTTGTCACACTGAGGAAAGGATGCTATTGGCATCTCGTGTACTGCCTGCATGTGTATGGGAAACAACTTGAGAGACACCTCATGATTATACAAAAGTAAACTTGGGTACAGTACTATGAACTGTTCCAAAGATTAAACTCCTATTTAAATAAAATACACTAATTAAAAAACTAAGTAACAATTTATTAATATTTAGTAGATACTAACAGGCTTTGTACCTATATGTATAACTTTCATTTTAAATGAAAAAAATTGAAACCAAAATAATTACCATTATGCTGAAATTCTGGATCTCTCAGAGAGCCATTAATTCGATGAGAGGGATGCCAGTAGGATGAAGGACAGGGTTGAGAAGGAGACTGCCCAGACCTGTTTGTTAGATATTCTGGATTTTTTGAAACTGGAAGAGTGGATTCCGAAAATTTGGAGATATTGATTTCAGAATCTTCTCTTAAAGGCAAGGGATCAACTGTTTTTATACCAGCAGCTGGAGAAGTCAGGAGGGCTACCACATGACCTTCTTTCTAAATGATCAAAAACACACACACACACAAAAAAAACACGGATGTTTGCATATGTGTATGTATAGTGCACATATATACACACATATATATGTGTGCGAGTATATATATATAAAACATTTAAATACACACAAAAATGTCCTAATAAAAGAGTAATATGCAAATTAACCATCACTCCCCTATACCCCAAGCCACACCCACCAGCCAATCAGGAGTAAGTATGAAAATTAACCCAACCAAGATGGCTGCAGTCACAGAAAGAGCAGGAGGCTTGGGTTTCCCTGGCAATGGAGGAAGCCAAGGTTTTCGCACACCCTGGCTGCCCCAGGACTCCACTCAAGGCTGCAAAGTTTCAATTATAGAAAATAAATAAATCCCAACAAATATGGCAGCAGTCACAGAGCTGGAGAGAGCAGGTGGCTTGAGTTGCCCCTGGCGATGGAGGAAGCCAAGCTTCTGCAGACATGGCCTGCCTTGGCCTCTGCTAGAGGCTACAAAGTTTCAATTATAGAAGATAAATAAATCCCAGATACCAGGACCTCCGCTTCAATCGCTGTGGGCATGACCGGCCTGCAAACCACCATAGGCCCCTCGCCCAGGCCACCTCATGCCCCAAGGGAACCTCCACCCTGATCCAGGACACCCTTCAGAGCAAACCAGCCAGCTCCCACCCGTGCACCAGGCCTCCATTCTATCTAATAAAAGAGTAATATGCAAATTGACCATCACTCCAACACACAAGATGGCTGCCCCTATGCAGTCAAAGATCCTGCCCCCATGTGGACACTAGATGGCCACCACAAGATGGTCAGCAGGGAAGGGCAGTTGGGAGGGACCAGGCCTGCAAGAGAGGGCACTTGGGGGTGCTCAAGCCAGCAGGGGGACAACTGGGAGGGACTGGGCCAGCAGAAGAGGGAAGTTGGGGGCACCTAGGCAGGGGAAAGCAGTTGGGGGGGATTATAGGGGAGGGGAATTAGGGGCAATCAGGCTGGCAGGGGAGCAGTTAGGCATCAATCAGGCTGGCAGGGGAGTGGTTAGGGGGTGATCAGGCTGGAAGGCAGAAGTGGTTAGGGCCATCAGGAAGGCAGGCAGGCAAGCAGTTGGGAGCCAGCAGACCTGGATTGTGAGAGAAATGTCCTACTAAATGGGCAGTTTAGTAATTTTAAATGAAAATGATTGGAGAGTGTGCAGGCTGGGCTGAAGGGCAATCCCCAGTGCACAAATTTTGTGCACCAGACTTCTAGTCTATAGTAATCTTATCTAATAAAAGAGAAGCATGCAAATTGACAGTATCTTCCCTATGCCCACAAGCCAAGCCCACCAGCCAATTAGGGTGAGTATGCAAATTAACCTAACCAAGATGGCAATTAATTTGCATATCCAGGCACAGAGCAAGACTAAAGACAGTGTAGAAAGAAGCCAAGCACTGCAAAAGGGAGTGAAGCTGCTGAGAAGCAAGCAAGTGGGGCGGGGAAAAAGGGAGGGAAGCAGGAGAAGGGAAGGAAGCAGGCGGGGTGGCAGAGACCGCAGCTGGAAGCCCTATTACTGGAATTTTCCTGCAATGGGCCTTTAGTAAAAGCATAATATGCTAATTAGATCAGATGCCCTTTCTGGATGAAGCCAAGACTGTGAGAGAAGCCCAGGTCCCAGGTGCCTGCCAGCATGCAGAGGAAAACCTGGATCCTGGGTGCCAGAGGGAAGCAGATGCTGGCAGCTGGGAGAACGAAGACCTACACTTGCGTGAATTTTGTGCACCAGCCTCTAGGATTATTATAAAAGCAGGAAGAGAAAATATAGGGGAACTTTATGTAATGTCCATATGCAGAAGACTTTATAAGCCTAACAACCAATATAAGCATATTTAGCTATAGAAAAAAAATATATATATAAACATTAAAAAATAAAAGGAAAATCAAATTTGAGGAAAATATGTAATATACGATTGATGAATTACTATAATTGCTACATAACTATTTCTTTACATATAGTAAGAAGAGATAAACCTAATTAAAAAGTAGAAAAAGGATAAGTATAAGCAATTCATATACACACAAAATATAAATGTCAAACATATTCACTTATAATAAAGTATTTCAAAATAGAATCATTGAAGTACTAATTTTTTACCTCCAAAATTACAAAGATTACTTTTTTGAAAAAACAAACTATAATACCCAGAACTGCCAGTGTTGTTAGAAGCACAATCTTTTGGGGGATTTGGCAAAACATAGCTAAAATCATAAAATTTTGAATCCTTTCACCACTTAGAAATTTACACAAAAGACAACATAAATTTAGCTAAAGGATGTATTTCAAAATAGAAAAATTAAAAAATAACAATAGGCATTCACTTTTAAAAAATAGATTTCAACAATAAGCATGTGGTTAAAACAATGACTGTATAATACAGACTGTATATCATGTTACTAAAAATTACATAGAAGTTATATTTACATGGAAATATGTTCATAATACATTACTAAGTGATAAAAAATAGACTATAAAGCCTTATCTACAGTATAATAAAAAATATACAAACTATTTCATGCCTTATTCTCTTTCCTCAAACCTCTAAAATTTTCTTCCTCTGCCTCATTTCCATCAAGATCTTGCTTTATATCCCATCAAACACAAAACAGACTTTCCCAAAGCTCCCACATTTTCCTGTATTTCATCAGCAATACCCAAAAAATTTGTTCTGCCTTCCCTTTTTTAACAATAAAGGAACTGTCACAGTGCCTAAGGCTAACCATTTCACATCTCTGCCAGGTCCTATGTCCTTTCTCCTACTCAAGAACATCTTTCCAACTATTTTACTCTTTCCTGCATCATCTTTCCTCTCTCTTTAAAACAGACACCAGAGGGGTGAGAGCATCAGTGGGGGGGGGAGGGGTGGTAAGGACACATATCTAATACCTTAATCAATAAAGAAAAAATATTCAGAACAAAAAACAACTGCTGTTACCAACATACAAATGTGCTCTTATCTCCTCTTTCTTGATCTCACTTCTAACTCCCACTCCCTGACTCTGCTCCCTTTTCATGGGAAGAACAATTGTCTGATGCTGTCTCCAATTCCTCTCCTCTCCATTCTCTTGAATTCACATGCATTTTGGCTTTTGTCCCACACTACTACCAAAACTGCCCTCTGTCAAGGTCACCAATAACCTCCAGATTGCTAAATCCAATAATCAGTTTTCATACCTTACTGACCCATCAGTAGCATTAACACTCCCTCCTCCTTCACACCTCCAGGAGGCCAGTCTTCTGTTTCCCAACACCTCATGGCTGTTTCTCTTCAGTCTCTTTGCTGGTTACTCCTCAACTTCCCAATATTAAAAACCTGGGGCTCAGACTTATATATACCTACTCTTCTCTAATATCCACTTCTGAGATGACCTTCACCAGTCTCCAGACCTTACATACCTGTACCACCTGCGATAAAGAGCCTTCAAATCTTTCTGCAGCCCAGCCTCTCCTCTACACTACAATCAACTCCCTACCCAACATGTCTACTTGTATGACGAATAAGCTTCTCAACTTTAACATGTCCAAATCTTTTCCTCATACTGTCATCCCCATCTCAGTTAAAAAGCAATTCCATCCTTACTGCTCAGGTAAAAATCCTGAGTCATCTTTGATTTTTCTATTATTCCCACCCCATATCTTATACATCAGCTAATCTTATCAGGTATGCTTTCTATGAATATCCAGAATCAGACTTTATCATATGACCTCCATTACAATCCAAACTATCATCATTCTTGCCTGAATATTTTAACTGACTCATATCACTCTTCTGCCTCTCCAAAGGCTTCCCATTTCATTTAGAATAAAATCGAAAGTCTTTGCTATGACTTATAAGGCCCATTATGCCTCTGAACTCATTGCCCATACTACTCTCCCTCTCTTGCTCTCTGTTCCAGTCCACTGACTTCCTGTCTGTTCCTGAAGAAATTAGCTACCTTCTCACCTGCAGGCCTTAGCACTTGCTGTTCCTTTGCCTAGAATGCCTTCCTAAATATGCAACTGGGTCAGTCCTTCAACAGCTTCAGCTTTGCACAAATGCCACCCTCTCAGTGAGACCTTCCCTGGCCACTTCGTATTCATTTGCCCTGTTTTATTTTTCTTCTTAGTACTTATCACCATCTACCATACTACATATTTTACCTAGTTATCCTGTTTATTGTCTCCTCCACTAGAATGTAAATTCAATAAGGTTATACCTTTGATGCTAAAATATAGCTGAAACATAATTGCTACACATTAGATACTCAATAAACAGAACTGTTTTTCTTCTCTTCCTGCTGAATCATTACTGACAAGATTTGAAAGTATGTAGCAGAAATATAATGTCAAACACCAGAAAAAAAAAAATTCAATGCCTCTGCCTTACTTAATATAGTTAATAAATTATCTCCACATATGATACACAAAATTTTCCAAAGTCTGAAATTAGCATTTATTACATGTGATTAGCAAAATCACTTCCTGAAGAGATGTTTTCCCTAAAACTAGAAATAGTTACCTTTCTAAAGTCATCCTGCAGAGACATTCGTTTTCTCTGTTCTGGGCCTGGAGGCTTCACTTTAGATGGAGACACTAAAACAGCACCGCCTGGAAAAACGCAGATGATGATAAGTTTCACTTAAACTACATTTTCATGTAGATAAGGCAGGTGAAATAAGAGCTGCAAAGTGTTTGCCTATTACCAACAGCTGGAGTGGTAAGATCGTGATGAGTCCTTTGAATTCCACCAAGTTCTCTCAGCTTCGGAGTAGGAAGCCTGCCTCCTTTTCCTGAGGATACGGAAGAAGAATCTGACCTACAAATTAAAATAATCTATTATGAAGCATTTCCTCCAGGAAATTTGCTATCATTATGCAATAATAAAATATGAAACTTTTAAGATCATTTTGTTTCTGAAAAAATAAATAAATCCAACAGGCAGGCAAGAGTGGCTGAATACTGGAAAAGAGAGAAGATCATTGAAAGTCAGCAAGAACACAGCAGAGAATTCTTTCATTAAATCAGACCCTAAGTCTCATTTTAACTGCAAAACTCATGAAAAGAACAATAAGGGAGCTCAGCCAGCATGGCTCAGAGGTTGCGACTCGACCTATGAACCAGGAGGTCATGGTTCGATTCTGGGTCAGGGAACATATCTGGGTTGTGGCTTCGATCCCCGGTAGGGGGCGTGCAGGGGAGGCAGCTGATCAATGATTCTCTCTCATCACTGATATTTTTACCTCTCCCTCCCTCTCCCTTCCTCTCTGAAATATATATATATTTTTTTTAAAAGAACCATAGATATAAGTATATAATATATATAATTTTTTAAATTTTTTTAAAGAATGATGAGTTTTGAACTATAGACAAAAAGCATCAGTACAATGGTAGGGAATCACTTCCCAAAAAAATCTGCATATAAATCAACAGGAATTGCCTATCTGCCACAATCACTTGTTTTAACTTATAAAACACTAGAGGCCCAGTGCACAACATTCGTGCACTGGGGAGGGGGCCCTCAGCTCAGCCTGTGCCCTCTCACAGTCCAGGACCCCTCAGGAGATGTCAGACTGCCAGCTTAGGCTTCTCCTGCTGCACTCGCCGGCCGTGAGCCCAGCTTCTGGCTCAGTGGCACTTTCCCAGTGGGAGCACACTCACTTCATTGAGTGTCTGCCCCATGGCAGTCAGTGTGTCATAGCAACTAGTTGTTCTACCATTCAGTCAATTTATATATTAGCCTTTTACTATATAGGACTATCTTTCATTCTTTTTTGGTATAACCATCTGATATTTAAGAATAACCTTTTACAATAACTAGAATTTGGAAACAGCCTAGATGCCCATCAACAGATGATTGGATCAAAAAACTATGGTACATCCACAAAATAGAATACTATGCTGCCATAAAAAAGAAGGAATTTGCCAAAACCGGTTTGGCTCAGTGGATAGAGCATCAGTCTGTCTGCGGGCTGAAAGGTCCCAGGTTCAATTCCAGTCAAGGGCATGTACATTGGTTGCGGGCACATTCCCGGTAGGGGGTGTGCAGGAGGCAGCTGGTCAATGTTTCTCTCTCATCAATGTTTCTAGCTTTCTATCCCTCTCCCTTCCTCTGTAAAAAATCAATAAAAAATATATTTTTTTTAAAAAAGAAGGAATTCTTATCATTTGCAGCAACCTGGATGGAATTGGAGAACATCATGCTGAGTGAAATAAGCCAGACAATGAAAGAGAAACACCACATGACCTCATTCATTTATGAATAATAAAGAACATTATAAACTGATGAACAAAAAGATAGATACAAAGACAGTAAAGCAACAAAAAGACTGTCAAATTACAGCAGAGAGGCTAGGAAGATATGGGGGAGATAAGAGATCAACCGAAGGACTTGTATGCATGCATATAAGCAAAATCAATGGACGAAAAACTCTGGGGGGAGTGGGAGAGAGACATGTATGGAAGTGGAGGGGGGGCAATGGAAAGATATGTACACATATAATACCTTAATAAAAAAAAAGGGGGGGGAGAATAACCTTAAATCATACAGAAAGTCATTCTTCCAGACATATTTACAAATCTGGCAAATCATAATTAGCAGGACATAAATGAAAATAACATTCACTACTTCCTCCCCAAATAGCTCAGGATTCAAAGTGTTCAATTACTAAGTTCAGATGACTCAAATACCTGATCAAATAAAATTAAAAGCCATACAGAATGTCTACTTCCTGAGATTAAAATAAAATCTTTATTAATCATAAAACTAAAAGCCCAGTATACTTAATTAGTAACAAAATACATATTAACTCTGTACAATGCTGCTATATATTAATTTAAAACTCTCACCCTTCTTTTATCTTGTCTGCCTTAGATTTTTCATGTACTTCCAACTTCTCTAACTCTCCCATATAAACCTGCTTGTCCCTTCCTCTGTCCCCTGCATCTTTCTGCAGGTCTTCATTGGTGATCTCTGCATCATCCCAGGCCAGGCGCCTTCTGACAGGTACAGTGGAAGCATCTGACACACCCAATTTCTCCGTGGTATTTTTCTGGAGCTGTTCTTCCAAGATAGGCCTTTTTCCTTCTCGTTTTGTAGAACATTTCTTCAAAGTCTTATGGCTTGTAGGATCTCTGCATAACAAAATAAGCTTTATTTTAAACTTGAATAGTTTGAGTTTTCTAGTTATACCAATTTTAATGACTCCATCATTCCCTCCCACTATTCACAACTATATATTTCCCACAGATATTAAAGAAGGAAACCTAAGAGTTCATTTTGCAGTATAGCAAAATAAAATATATTTATCTTCTCTTCTCCTGTCTTCACATATACATGCCTGCACCACTACTGACAAAATTCATGCATATCCCCTAAATTGGCATTATACACATAAACTAGGGCCGACCCCGCATGTTCTAACTTGATCAATTAGAGTTTGTGCACAAACTCGAATATAATTGTGGATCTGGTAAGCTGATTCAAATTTTATACTTTAGGTAGATTAATCTTTTCCAGACATTACTAAAGAACAGGTTTTATGATGAACTTGAAATCAGATGTCACATAATTAGAATTTATAGTTCAATTTGCTATGTGTGACTATATTAATACACTGTCACAACTAAAAACTATTTTATTTGCCTCATATCAATGTGTTATTTTTCTTATAAAAAGTTAGATCATTTCACTTTAAAGCCCAACACAGCAGAGAATTCTCCCATAGAAGTAGGATCTACATTCCATAATAACCATGGAAACTTATTAATAAATGATAATGGATATGTACTAATAGCTTACTTTTAAAGTTCTTTTACATCTGCTATATAATCATCCCTACTATATTTTTAATTATTAAAAAGGAACATTATAAAATCCAGTCTTCCAGATTTACATTATGTATTATTTATACACAAGTGTTTAAAGTGAGTAAGTATGGATTTATTTTTGAGAAAGTAAACTAAAAATAATAAAATATAATATATGGCTGACATATCTCCATTTAAGTAGAAGATGGATTTTGAGTAGTAGGTCATTTACCTGTTTAATTCCATTATCTACATAAGCTACAGCATACTTTTTCACTACAAACAAAAAACATCTCACCCAGCAAGATCTAGTGCTCTAATGTTACTGCTAACAGTTCCTTCTGAGCTCGTGGTCGAGGAGACATCCCACCAACTGTTGTTATCAGACAGAACCTGATTCAGATGGTCCCGAGAAAAATGAGTGCCCAGAACGCGTTTCCTATAAAATTCAGCCTTCTCTCGAAGTTCTTTAACCTACGCAGGAGAATTAAGACATCACACATTACTGCAAATGCTCCTTTGCAAACATCACCAAGTAGCATATCAAAGACATTGCGCACATACAACCAGAGACCAAAGAGAAAGGAAGGCAGAAATAGCCACATATGTTTATCAAATTATGTGAATTTTAAGCAGAAATTAAAACAGACAAGCTAAAGCACAATGCAGTTATTTCAAGCCAGCACATAGGGAGAAATCTGTAGCAGCTAAGAAAAATATTGACACCTACTTCTTATTTCAACTGAAATTACACAAGTACTCTATGCATTATTACAGTTTTTTAAAAACTCAAAAGCAACGAACCTCTGCATACCACATGGCATTTAGAGAACCCTAGAGGAGAAATACAGAAACATACTTAATGACAGGTTAATACCATAAATGAATATTCATGGGAATCAATGAAATACCTATTATTCTTCCTTCTAAATATATATATATACCAAAATTGTCAACCAAATTTTTTGGTATTTTAGTAATATTTAATTCAGTAACCAAGATATGTTAATATAACTTCAAAAACCAACCACATTATTGCATAGCTCAGATGCTGTCCATGACAGGTAACCTAATTAATATTCCTATTTCCTTACCCTGGGACAATTACTATAATGCCTCAACCCCCTAAGCCTTGTTTTTAATTTTCTAGTTTTATAAATAGTTATTTTCAGTATAGAAGCCCCCAAAGTAGTAATTGTAATATTTTCAACAAAGTGGCAGAATACAAAAATATTTTGATGAACTATACTATACAGTGATCTGAATTCTCTAATATACAAATATCATATTTGTATATGAAATGGACTCTTACCCTCCTTTGAAACTCTTTCATTTTATATATCATACTGCCACCTACTGGCTTCCATAAATATAAGCCCATAATGTAAAAATATAAATTATTTTAAATCCTATTTAAATTCATCTGTTAAATGTTATAAACAATGTTACCTCAACAAAAATTAAAGTAAAATAAAAAAATTTGTTCTCAAAATGACCTAATTTTTTTCTATCATAAAGATGAAATGTAAGCATTCCATCTGGATACTGTCTGATTAAATTGCTTTGCTTTTACTTAAATACAAAAAAAGCAAATACTAAAACTTAGCATTGGAGAAACATATCCTCAATTCCTTACCAAGACACTACAGAATTCAAAGAAAAAATATTACATCTCTAATGAATTAGCCAAAGTCAAAGAACAACATCTGCCTTTAACATTACTAAACCTGAAACATTACTTAAGGATAATTCAAAATATTGGTTTCTTCACTGCCCAAAAAATTGAGCCATGTTCATTTCTGTCAATGCCTATACTTTGAAGAATATTACAAGTTTAACAGATCCTTAATTTGGTTTAGTTCAACATTGTTTCATTATACATTGATCAGATGTAACAGGAATGTAACTCTTTTGTTTATATAATTAGCATACGGTAAAACTGGCTTCATTATATGTAGTTTTGCTTAAAGTCACAGAATCCATCAATGATATTAAATGAGGACTTACTGTAATGGTTTTTGCATTTAACACATGAGTTAAGTCTGTTGAATTATTAACCAAGGCATTCTGAATGCACTAAAACCTTGTTATAATGTACCATGATATAATCCAGATTTTATTTCTAATACATACCCCATGTCTCAAATGTTTCATGGCTACTCCTAATTACTCCTATTTCTCTGCCCCTGGATGACTATTAAAATGTCCCAACCCCCTAAGCCCAAGTTTTAATTTAGTTTTATATATAGTTACTATCAGTATAAGCCCCCAATGAGCGTCACAAGGCTTCCCTCTCAAATTCCTCAGAATTCCTTGGAATCAGCAGAACCTCAACTTTTAAAAAATATATAAAAAATATACTAGTTTTTTAACCTCACAAAATAGTAACTATAATTTGAAATAATAAAAGCTTAATATGCTAAGTTAGGCTTAACCTCATCCATTCAACCAATCAATGTGTAATATGCTAATAATATGCTAAGGCTGCTCAACCAGTCACTATGACGTGCACTGACCACCACCACAAGGCACAGTCGACCAGTTGACCAGTCGCTCCAACAGGTAAGTTAGTTTGCTGCTGATGTCCAGCCGATCATGAGTGAGCGAGACATGCTGCACACACCTTGGAGCCCTTCTGTGGTCCTTCCCCAGCTGGCCAACCTCTCACATCCTTCCCCAGCCCTGATCGTGCACCAGTGGGGTCCCTCAGCCTGGCCTGTGCCCTCTCACAACTCAGGACCCCCTTGGAGGATGTTGAGGCCCCGTTTGACCTGATGGAACCAGTTACTATGACAGCAGAACTGGTTGCTATGATGCGCACTGACCACCAGGGGGCAGATGCTCAACGCAGGAACTGTCACCTGTGGTCAGTGCACTTCCACAAGGGGAGCACAGCTCAGCCAGGAGCCAGGCGAGCACAGTGGCGGTGCCGAGAGCCTCTCCCACCCCCGCAGCAGCACTAAGGATGTCTGACTGACAGCTTAGGCCTGCTCCCCATGGGAGTCGAACATCCCCCAAGGGCTTCTGGACTACAAGAGGGAGAAGGCCAGGCTGAGGGACCCCTCCCACAAGTGCACAAATTTCATGCACCAGGCCTCTAGAATATGATAAAATCTGCTGGCCTTACATTGATTCCTCCTCTGTGTTGTTAAAGCCTTTGGTGCATATCCCTATTAGTACTTATTTTATCCTACAGGAATTAATTGCTAGTGTCATTCTCTCCCATTAACCTATGAAATCCTTGAGGTAAGGAAGAATGTAGCATTTAAACATTGTTTCCACAGCCTGTCCTGAGTGCAGACTATGTGCTCCGTCTTAGCTTAAAGGCTGGGAGCCAAAGATAAGAAAGCAAGTCCCTGTATTCAATGTGCTCAATTTGGTAGAGGAGTAAACCTTCTCCTCTATGATAATTTATTATCATAATATTAGTATGGTTTATGCCATAATAACCAAATGAGATATAAGTTGAAAGAGTGGATCAAAAGGGAGAATGTAACTCCTATACTGTGTGTAGGGTGGAGTGGAAAGGTACAGCGAGGAAAGCTGCCTCTATCCACACGGGAGGGCCTTACTGTTTGATAAATGAGAGGACGGATGAATATGCTCTCCAGGTACACAGTGATCCAGTTTTATTTGACATCAATCTTTTTAAAAAAGGGAGAAGAGATACAGAAATACTGTAAAACTTTGGTTTACTGTTCTATTTGTTACTGACATTCAAAACAATGTTTCAAATTTACTTTATCAGCAATCTTTATTAATAATTTAGTGTTAATGTTATGCTTTACAAATACATAATTTTAAACTTCTATAATCCTAAACTAAGATAAAAATTAGGAGGTTGAGCCCTGACCAATGCAGTTCAGCAGTTAGAAGGTTAGCCCCCAAAAGCACCTCAATTGCAGGCTCGATCCCCAGCCCAAGATTGGGGCATATGCCGGAGGCAACAAATGGATATCTTAAAATTGATATTTCTGTGTGTGTGTGTGTGTGTGTGTGTGTTCCCCTCCCTTCCACTCTCTCTAAAAATCAATGGAAAATGAACAACAACAATAAAAATTAGGAGGTTTATATCTCCTTAGGCGTTCTACTAGAGTTTGGTGTGTACAAAATATTAAGAACAATCCTTACAGCCAAGAACCCAAAGCACTACAAAGGATATAAATAAACCATTCCAAACTCAACTGAAACAACACACATATCTTTTTCCAGGTAAAGCAATGCAATCAGATTACATGATATAATAAACACTATGAGTAGAATGTTTTCATTTCTGAATTTATTTTCCCCAATTAAGAATTTAACTAAATCACTTAAAATCTATATACAGAAAATTCAAACTTAGAAAACTGGGGAGAAAATATAAAAACTCTCTTTTTCCAAAAATCACCTCCCAAAAGTGAGGAGGCATCATCTTTATATCTAGTAGTTCTTACAATGTCTGTCAAATTACAGAATGTGGAACTTTATCTTAAATAAAGTCCTATCTGTGAAAGACACATTAAAAAAAAAATTTACTCAGAGAACAAATTGAAGGTCAGGAAATGAGAGGGGGTTAGGTGAAAAAGATGAAAGTAATTAATTGCCAGTTATAAAAAGTCACAGGGATATAAAGTATAGCATTTGGAATATAGTCAGTAATCTATATATATATAAAACCTAAGCAACCATTTGTTTGTTCAACCAGTAGCTATGATGTGTACTGACACTCAACACACAGACATGGAAACATGGAACAGACTGATGAATCTCAGAGGGAAGTGGGGAGGGGAGATGGTGGGAAGAGATTAACCAAAGATCTTATATGCATACTGGAGGCCCAGTGCACCAATTCTTGTACCAGTGGGGTCCCTCTAGTATTATAATAACTACTAGAGACCCAGTGCATGAAAATTCATGTACTGGGGGGGAGGGTCCCTCAGCCCAGCCTGCCCCCTCTCACAATCCAGGAGCCCTCAGGGGCAGGAGACAACCCGGAGATCACACCTCTGCTACTGCCCCTGCCAGCAGTGCAAGCCCCTGCCGGCCCTGGTTACCTGAGCCTCAGGCGGCCCTGGGCGGCTAAGCAGCTGCCATCTGAGGCTTGCCGGTGCCTCACTCTGGGCAGCTGGACAGACGACATCAGAGGCGTACCTGCTCCTTGGACCAGCCCTGGGCAGCTGGGCAGACACCATCCGAGGCTTACCTGTGCCTCGGGCTGGTCCTGGGTGCCTGGAGGGCTGAGGGGACTGAGAGCCACCATCTTTGAGGGCATGGCAGTCAATTGGCATATTCCCTCCTATTGGCTGTGGGAGCTGCCATCTTTGTGAGGGAGTGGCAGTAAATTAGCATATTCTCCCTTTATTAGATAGTATATAGGATCATTTCATAAGGTACACAAATGTCTCATCACTATGTTGTACACCTGAAAATAATACTGTATGTCAACTGTAATTATTTAAAATTTTTAAATTATCTTAATGTAATTTGAATTATTAGATTATCTAACAATCAAGAAAAAAGGAAATTTAACATGGATTCAATAGCTATTCTGAGGAAAGGTGCTAACAATTACGATTGCTGTTTATTATTAAAGATAATCCTTTAAGTGAGCATTTTACAAAAACAATACTTATATTATGGAGATAAAAAATAAAAATTACACTGGACCAATAAAACCAACTGTACCTTAATGTTATATGACTAGATACTTGGAACTTAGAATACAATATCCAGTGACTAGACTATAAATAGATTTTAAAAGTAATATCTCAAACAACATAGAAGAAAATGAAGATGATATATGGGCTAGAAAATTGTGAGATGATTCAAAAAAATAAGTTTACATTCTAAGATAATAAAGTCATTGACGTTAAGTGCATTGATGAGTATCAATAAATTCCTTCATTAAATGTTAGGAGTGAAAAAATAAAGGAGTACCTTATGTTTAGACACTTAACATTCAGTAAATGCTTTCCAGTAGGAAAAACAAAACAAAACTAAAACTTAAAAAAAAAGACCGTGGCCACATTAAAGTCTATGGCCTGGTTACAGACTTTTATCACCATTAGTGATCACTGACCTCTTTACTGAAAATTCTTATTCTTTTCTAACTCAATTTACTTTTTGAATTATTTGGCTAATAAAGGTCAAGGCAAACTATACCACTAATTTAAATTTAATTTATCACCACTAATGGCAATTAATGAAACAAACTCCTCTCAAAAGTCACACCAAGGTATCATATTAGGAAACCTTGAAAAGACAGTACTTAAATTAACAACAAAAATATTCTCGTCTATCAGGGCAGCATAAGGACCATCAGACATAAGGATCCCCTTAGTCCATTAAGATCTGATGTTGGTACTAAACTAGCACTTAATAATATCAATTCATCTTAGTAGTTTAAAGAAGTCTCAGAGACTAAGATAATTTTTCCAATACAAGTACCTTCTCATGAACCAACCTGGTGAAACACCTAAAAAACAGGACAGGTGGGCCCTCACTGGTTTGGCTCAGTGCATAGAGTGTCGGCCTACGGACGGAAGGGTCCCAGGTTTGATTCCAATCAAGGGCACATGCTTGGGTTGTGGTCTCCATCCCCAGTAGGGGGCATGCAGGAGGCAACTGATCAGTGATTCTCTCTCATCACTGATATTTCTCTCTCTCCCTCTCTCCCTTCCTCTATGAAATCAATAAAAAATACATTTTAAAAAAATAGGACAGGTGGAATGGCTGACACCACACAGTCCTCTATGGCCACATTCTGTGTGTAATTGTCAACCATGGTTTTAAGTATGGAATTAAATGAAAGATTCATTCCCCATCCAAATTACTCCTCTCTTTACAATGATAGGGGAAGGAAGTATTTGCTGATGTATAACCTAAACTAATATGTTTTAATTTAGCTAATTCACACAGAAAAGGCAGAAAACCCTCAAGATGTGGTTTAATAGATACTAACTATATAACAACCAAAAAAGCTCCACTGTTTATCCTTTGACTATAAGAAGTTAGTACTAAACTAGCACTTACTAATTCAAGGATTACTCTTTCCCTTACACTTCCTTTTAGGATTCTCAAAATTTCCCCCATATGTCAGGGTATCCTGACACCATAACTCAAACCCCTATCAGCACAGGCCATTCCTTCCCTGTACTTACAGACTGTAATGGTACATAATGATAGGGGCTACCACTGTCAGACAAACTAATCTAGAAAATTAATTAATCTTCAGTTGCAAAGGTAGGAGCTGTATGTTATAAAATAATAAAATATATCATACCACAAATCTATAAACTGAATATTGACTGTAAAAAATATTTTTAACTTTAAAGACTTTGTAATAATCTATTATTATTATCTAAGGAGCTAGTTGGTGTTTTTAAAAAGTAAACATACTGATAAATTATAGCCTACTATGTACAACTTTAAGTTCCTGATACTTTTATTGCTATTATTGTATCTTACATCTTTATATTGTCTCTATTACTAAATCTATTACTAATAAAGGCTAAAAGAAAATGTAGGCTTACTGAGCTTATGTAGACTCACCTGATTTGGTATATTTTCCTTCACTTGTGTCCATGCCCCAGCTTTATATAAATACTGGGCTGGGCTCAGAAATTTTGCTCTATATTCAGAATTCACCTTCCTAACAGCAAAGAAATAAGAGTAAATATTTCATCATCATGTCAATCATCTAAGTACTATGGTATTTATCTTATAAAATACGTACCCAAGCCTTTGATGTTTCCAAGGAGTGAGCTTCTTTTTAAGCTGGTTTAAGTCTTTTGATTCCATTTCTGCTTCTAATTTTAAAGAATCGTCTGTTTTATTACACTAAAATGAAAAAAATTTAAAAGCATAAACATTATAAAGTTTACTTGAATACTGTATTACAATTTTGTTTTTAGAAAAAAGCTTTAACTTTAGTAAAGATAACATTGAAATCACAAGAAGTCAACAAAAAAGTTTTGAAACTAGTATATCTGGTTATTTTTTTGAAATATAGCTCAGGATATAATTTCATTTTCTAACCATTAAAATTTTAGCTCCTTCACTAGAAAAAAAAATTTGAATTAACAAATAAATACCAAAGTAAATAAACTTTTCATTATTACCTTTTGAGCAGTGATCTAACATTTGCCCTTGATACTCTAAATTTTTAATTAATTATATTATAGTAATTAAATATAAGACCCCAATAATAAGTTACCACATTGCTTTACTTAAAAACTTAATCTCTCTTTTTTTCTCTCCAAGAACAATATAGGCCCCAAAAGTTTTACTTTTAGTCATAAAATTTCTATTTTTAGAACCCAAAAAGCATCAAATATAGAACTTATACCCCATCTATAATAATAAAAGCATAATATGCTAATTAGACCAGACATCCTTCTGGACAACCTTCCTGATGAAGCTGGGGCTGTGACAGAAGCCCAGGTCCCAGGTGCCTGCTGGCAGCTGGAAGGAAACCCGGGTTCGAGGAGAGCCAGTGCCAGCAGCCAGGGGAAGGAAGGTTTACTCTTGCACAAATTTCTTGCATTGGGCCTCTAGTTTACTTATAATTTACAATAATTTCAACCTGATACTGCAACTTAAATAGCTATAAATTCACAAAGAAGCAGGTAGTTATATATCCTGAGGTAAAGTATGTGAATTACACTGACTATAATTTGGCATGCTAGAACTTTGATTTAAAATACATATGTTGAGCCGAAACCTGTTTGGCTCAGTGGCAGAGCGTCGGTCTGCGGACTGAAAGGTCCCAAGTTCGATTCCGGTCAAGGGCATGTACATTGGTTGCGGGCACATCCCCAGTAGGGGGTGTGCAAGAGGCAGCTGGTCGATGTTTCTCTCTCATCGACATTTCTAGCTCTCTATCTCTCTCCCTTCCTCTCTGTAAAATATCAATAAAATATATTTTTTTAAAAATACATATGTTGAACTGATGTGGCTCAGTTGGTTGGGCACTGTCCAGTCCACCAAAAGGCTGCTGGTTCAATTCCTGGTGAGAGTACATGCCTGGGTTGTGGGCTCAATCCCCAATGGAGAGCATGCAGGAGGCAACCGATCAATGTTCCGTTCTCACATCAATGTTTCTCTCCCTCCCTTACCATTCCTCTCTCTCTCTAAATCAGTAAAAATATTTTTAAAATAAAATAAAATATTATATGTGTGTTTATGTGTTTATGTTTTATTTCCATTATTTAATTTAAAGTATGTGTTTCTCTTACTGCTGTGACCTGTGAAGCCCATATCACTGTAAAATCAATCACTTGATATTTGACATAGCAGACTTACTTGCTGTATTTGTGAAGCATTCATCACTCTGTATTACATTTAGCTATTTTCACTTCTGTCTCCCCAATAGCTCAGAACTGAGCATAGTTATTATATTCTCAGTAGCTACCCAGTGCCCAGTTCCTACTAAGTGCTCAATGAGTCTGCCATTTAATGAACAAACAAATGGTTTAATGAACTAGCTAATAACAAAAATGCCAAGGAGTGGTAAGTGAAAGAAAAAAATGTGAGTGTCTAAAATGAGGATTTTGTTTTGTTTAAAGAGTTGATGAATACCTTTTTTTCAGGAGATACTGTTTCAAAATGTCCGTTTTCTTTCAAATCACTTCTTAATTTTGGTTCTTTCACAGGAGACAAACCCTTGAAATTTCTTTTGTATTCACTTTCATGGATTATTGAGTTATCTTTGAATTGTGGAACAAATTTGCTTTTATTGTGGAAAACCTTAAAACAAAAATTAGTTTAGTTTAACTTTTTGTTGTTTAATTATTATAGAAATCAGTTTTTCAATAGCTTAAAATTTTTCATGCACAAAGTTGAAAATAAAAAAGGCAAATTATAAGACTCTGTACTTTCATTTCACATGTCTAAATAAAATCCAAAGGGCAACAAAAGCAGAAATAGAGAAATGAGAATGCATCGAACTAACAGCTTTTGTACAGAAAAGAGAAACAACAGAATGAGAGACAATGTATGAAATGGAAGAAAACATTAGAACCTTAGATCTCATAAGGGGTCAATATTCAAAATACATTCAGGAACTCAACACAATAGCAAGAAAACAATCCAATTAAAATATGGGCAAATAGGCATACAAATAGACAAATAAGTAAGTGCTGGCAAGGATATGGAAAAAAGGGAACCCTATTGCACTGTTGGTGGGAATGCAGACTGATGGCAGCTACTATGGAAAACAGTATGGAGTTTCCTCAAAAAATTAAAAATAGAGCTGTCTTTGACCCAGCAATCCCACTTCTGGGAATATACCTAAATTGGAGGCCTGGTATATGAGATTCGTGCACTCAGGGGGTCCCTCAGGCTGGCCTGTGCTCTCTCTCAACCCGGAAGCCCTTGGGGCGATGTCCGACTGATGGCTTAGGCCTGCTCCCCCCTTAAGCTGTCAGTCAGACATTCTTAGTGCTGCCGCGGAGGCAGGAGAGGCTCCCGCCACCACCACTGCGCTCCTCAGCAGTGAGCGGTGAGCGCAGCTTCTGGCTGAGCAGTGCTCCCTCTGTGGGAGCCCTTTGACCACCAGGGAGCAGCTCCCGCATTGAGCATCTGCCCCCTGGTGGTCAGTTTACATCATAGCACCAGTCGTTCTGCTGTTTGGTCAATTTGCGTATTACCCTTTTATTATATAGGATATCCTGAAATACCAATCAGAAAGACTATATGTTCCCCTATGTTCATAGGAGCGTTATTTATAATAGCCAAGATCTAGAAATAGCCCAAGAATCCATCAGTAGATAAGTGGATAAAAAAACCTGTGGTACATTTTACACAATGGAATACTATGCAGTTGTACAAAGGAAGGAACTCTCAGTTTTTGTGACAGCATGGATGGATCTGGAGAGTATTATGCTAAGCGAAATAAACCAGTCAGAGAAAGACAAATACCATGGGATCTTACTCCAAAGAGGACATACAGATGGCCAGAAGACATATGAAAAAAATGTTCAAACAAAATAAACTGATGAAAAAATAGATCCAGAGACATAGAAGCATGGAACAGACTGTGGCATCTCAGAGGGAAAGTGTGGGTGGATGGGTGGGTGGGAAGAGATCAACCAAGAACTTGTATGCATTTATACATAACCCATAAACACAGATAATAGGGTGGTGAAGGGAAGGGGTGGGGGTGAAGAGTTGAAGTGGGCTAGAAGAGGTCAATGTGGGGGAAAAAGGAAATGTAGTAATTCTTTCAACAATAAAAATAAAAAATCATGAGTATACATCATAGTCTAAAAAAATCCTATTTCAAAAATATATAGAAGGTAAAATGTCAAAACACAGCATATCATTAAGTTTAAATAAAAAGGTCAGGATTTAGAATTATATGTAAAATATTAGAAATCCAGCGCACAAAATTCATGCACTCAGGAGTGGGGGAGTCCCCTCAACCCAGCCTGCACCCTCTCCTAATCCAGGACTGCTGGCTCCTAATCGCTCACCTACCTGCCTGCCTGATTGCCCCAACCACTCTGCCTGCCTGCCTGCCTGATCTCCCCTAACCACTCGCCTGCCTGCCTGATCACCCCTAACTGCTCACCTACCTGCCTGATCACCCCTAACTGCCTCTGCCTGCCTGCCTCATTGCCCCTAACCACTCGCCTGCCTGATCGCCCCCAACCACCTCTGCCTTGGCCCCAGCTGCCAAGGCTCCAACTGGAAGGACATCTGTAATGATAAGCTTTTATCATTATAGTCTAGAGACCCATTACATGATATTTGTGCAAGAATAGGTCTTCCTTCCCCTGTCTTTGCTCCCGGCCACCTGGGAGCCTGCAAGTCCTCACTCCTACAGCTCCTGTAGCTCCCTCCACTGCCCTTCCTCTCCCTTATAGCAGGTGCCCCACCTCCCAGCCTCTCCAAGCTCCCATATGCAAACTAACCCACCATCAGCTGATTAATTTGTATACTCACTCCTGATTGGCTGTGGGTATAGTGGAGGTACAGTCAATTTAATGTTTGTCTATTATTAGGTAAGATGATCGCATGTATGCATATACATCCTATGTAATAAAAGCCTAATATGCTAAGTGTCCAATTGTCTGGTCAATCAATCAAAGCATAATATGCTGATGATATACTAAGGCCACTCAACTTCTCACTATGATGTGCACTGACCACCAGGGGGCAGACGCTCAATGAAGGAGCCAGGATCATGGCTGAAGAGCACAGCAGTGGTGGCAGGCCTAAGCTATCCGTGGGACATCCCCTGAGGGCTCCCGGACTGTGAAAGGGTGCAGGCCAAGCTGAAGGACTCCCTCCGCCCTGCAAGTGCACAAATTTCATGCACCAGGCCTCTAGTATATATAGCCAGGGGAAGAAAGGCCTATTCTTGCACAAATATTATGCAATGGGCCTCTAGTCTATATATATATATATATATATATATATATATATATATATATATATATATTCAGAACAATGTTAAAAACACATTGAAATATGTACAATGATTATTTCAGTAATCATTTCAGGGGGATGATTTTAAGTGTTCTTGCTTGTATAGTTTGTTGTCTATTTACATATTCAGGATATTAACCTTTCATAATATTTCTATAATATATTATATTTATGCACTTATGTAAAATTATGTATGTTATGTATAAAAATGAAAATTGAATATAACATTTTAAATATTAAAATAATTACAGAGAAGCCCGAATTCTACACAGCCAAGGAAACCATCTGCAACAAAACTTAGGAAACAGGAGAAAATGTTTGGAAATCATCTATCAATAAGGATGAATATGTAACAATAGGCCAATCAGTGTGGCTCAGTGGGTTTAGCATCCCCACATGCATCGAGGCCACTGGGTCCACTCCAGGTTAAAGCACATGTGGGCTCAGTTCCTAGCAGGGGGCCTGCAGGAGGCAGCCAATTTATGTTTTACTCTCGTCAATGTTTCTACCTCTCTCCCTCTCCTTTCTTCTCTCTAAAATCAATAAAAACATTTTAACTAGTAGGTATGTAATACTAATAGAACTCATACAATGCAAAAAAAAAAAAAAACAATTCAATTAAAAATGGGCAGAGAAACTGAATAGACATTTTTTTCAAAAAGGACATACAAATGGTCAATGGGTGTACAAGCAGATGATCAACATCGTTAATCATCAGGGAAGTGTAAATCGAAACCACAATGGGACAATTACCTCACATCTGTTAGAACTGTTATTATCAAAAATACAAAAGATAAATGTTTGCAATGATGTAGAGATCCCTTGAACACTGTTGGTAAGAATATAAATTAGTAGAGCCATTATAAAAAAACAGTATGGAGGTTCCTCAAAAAATTAGCAACAGAACTACCATATGATTCAGCGATTCCAAAGGAATTGAAATCAGTATCTTGAAGAGATATCTGTACTCCCTTGTTCACTGCAAGATCATTCACAATAGCCAAGATATGAAATAAGCCTAAGTGTCCATCCACAGATGAATAAATAAAGAAAAATAATACAATGGAATATTATTCAGCCTTGAAAAGAAATCCTGTCATTTGCAACATGGATGAACCTGGAGAACATGTGCTAAGTGAAATAAGCGAGGCACAGAAAGATGAATACTGCATGATTGCACTTACATGTGGAATCTATAAAAGTCAAACTCATTGAAGTAGAGTAGAATGGTGGTTGCCAGGGGCCAGTGGGTGAAGGAAATGGGAATATATTGGTTGAAAAGTCCAAAATTTCAATTGCGCAGGACAAATAATTTCTGCAGCTTTCAAGTATAGCAGGGTGACTGTAGCTAAGAATACTATACTGTATACTTAAAACTTGCTAAGAGGGTAGATCTCAGCATTAAAAAAAAAAAGTTCTCACCATAAAGGAATAGATTTGTTAGTTGGATTGTGGTAAACATTTCCTTATATATGTACACATAAATATATCATTTTTTCAATTAAACCTCAATAAAACTGAAAAAAATCCAAAGATCAACTTTCTATATTCATTACTACTATGTTGTGAATAATAGCTATTATAATCAAAATAATGCTTAACCCAAGAAAAATAATGCACCATTTCTTTTCTATCTTTTCTCCCCAAAGTCTCACATCAGTTTGGTAATGGAATTTATAGAATAGACATCTATATATATAAAAGCCTGAGCAACCATTCGGCCATTCAACCATTCAACCAGTAGCTATGACACGCACTGACCACAAGGGGGGAAATGCTTAACGCACAGGCATGGAAGCACAGAAGGAGACTGATGAATCTCAGAGGGAAAGGTGAAGATTAACCAAAGATCTTATATGCACAATAGAGGCCCAGTGCATGGATTCATGCACTGGTGGGGTCCCTCAGCCTGGCCTACAGAGACCAGGCCAAAACCAGCAGTCTGCAACTTGCAAGGGTTTCTGAATTGCAAAAAGGTACAGGCCAGGCTGAGGGACTCCACCGGTGTATGAATTCATGCACCAGGTCTCTAGTATTTTAATAATATGAACATAGAAATTAGCTTTACAAGGCAACTCTGTTGTCACCATTTTTTCCCCCCTCGACGTGTATTTTTTTCTTCCTGCAAAAGAAAATGCTTCACATTTTGAATGTCTGGTATGTTCATTTCTTCAGTTTTTGTTTCTTTGCTTATTTTTAGTTTAAAGAAGGGGAAAAGTCACATAATTATTATGTTCCTATTTTTAAATATTTCCTTTTATCCTTAATACTTCATAATATGTTTCCATTTTATGTATATTACTACTCTTTATAAGGAAAGCAAATGAAAAAGATGTAAGCACAAATAATATTATTTTTTATAACTCTGAATACTACTACATCTTCATAGAAATTGAATCCAAACAGTGTATCTTTTTAAGATACAATATAATCTCAAGTACTTTTCTGCAAATGTTGCTTACCCCTTTTCATATTAATATAAGACATCCTTTCAGAAACCAGAGTTTGATAAAACAGAACTAAACAGCTCCCTTGGAGGTTCCCATCAGCAAGCATTTCATTTTTTCCAAGAGCTCTTCAGTCCACAGACCCTGAAACTGATATTCTTTGAAGTAACAAAGGGTATTTGCTTTCCCAAAAAGTTATTTGGAAACCTCATAATAAAAGCAATAAAACTACTATAGTATTGCTAGTGGTTTACATTATACTTCTAATCCTATGAAAAAGAACATTTCTATACAATAGTCTCATTGAAATATGTAACAGTTGTTAAAGGGACTTTAATTGGAATCATCTCTATTTTAAAGGTGACATACTCTATAAAAACAAAAGAATTTACAATTTTTAGGTATTAAGTAATTTTTAGGTACATTTACTATCCAAGAATACTAGTAAGCCAGCAAAAGTACTGATCCTACTTACTAGGTTCATAAAGGGTATATATCATTTTATATTATTTTTACATTCCTAAAATGTTATATAAATTTCAGGTATTTTAAAAACTGAATAACAAGTAAATAAGCCCAAAACTTCCACAATATATAAATCATTGGTATTATTATCTTAGTGTAAAATTATTTATGTCCTTGCCTAGCTAAATCTAACTGGTGAATATTGCGATACAGGAGAAAATGAATGTAAGGATGTGTAGAGAAGTGTGTGTGTGTGTGTGTGTGTGTGTGTGTGTGTGTGTGTGTGTGTGTGTGTGTTTATGAAGAAAAACACAAAGATGAGGCAAAACAAAAGTCTGAACTGTCATGAGCCTCTGAGGATATCCTAAATGGCAGTATTTCCCACCTAGGTATAGGAGTACATTTAAGAAAATAAGAGTTAAAAGCCTAAGAACTATCTAGAAAATGACAGAAGTAAAACAAGAGTATTTATTGGTTATGGTAATCTAATAATAAAATTCTGTAAGGATACAATGAATCTAATATCACATTTAGTCATCATTATAGTTTCTGAATTTTATAAATGTTGTTAACTGTGAATTCCTATTACTGCTCCTTTAATAAAAAGATAAAATTGTATATCTTCTGTTAATATCAAGATATTTTGCATTTATTAAAATAAATATCCAAAGCAGTTATGCCTTTTTCAGAGGACAAAAAAATGTAAATGTATTAGTCAACTAAACACATTTTAGAATAAAACTGAGTTAATTTTTAAATAAATAAAAGAACTCACAGCATGCAAAAACTTATTAGTTGAGAAAAAAGTTTTCATTACCCTGTCACATATTTATCATATATGATAGATCTGGCAACAATGATCATCAGTAGCCCAGGACAATATAATATAAATCACAAGTAATCAAATAATTTTAGCAAGACTCTCATTTTCACTTCTCTAGAACCTATCTCCAGGCCTACTTAAGTATCTAATTTCTTTTAGCAATTAGTTCTATGTAAATCTACATAACTAGATTAAATGATGATATACAAAAATATATTACATCCATTAAACTACCTGATTGGCTGCAAAAACTGGAGCAGTTTTTTTAGGGGTCTTCCAAACAAACTGCCTTTGATATTCAGAATTCCTCAAGACACTTTGTGAAGGAACAACAGTCAATCCAGCTTTCTTCTGCAGAAATCTATCCCACTGTTAGGAGAAAAACAATACCACCCAAAGTCATTAAAAAGTTCCATTTAAATTTTTCTTTTTTACTGTGGTAAAAAAAAATAACATGAAATTCATCCTTAACAAATGTTTAAGTCTACAGTACAGCATTATTAATGATATCCACATTGTTGCACAATTTTTCTCAACTGATAATCTACCTTTTAAATTGTCAATCTATTTAAAATTCCTTTCTTAATACTGTCAAGAAAGTATTATGCATCTCAGAAAAAGATTAAAAAGTCTCAGTTATTAATCCTTCCTACCAATTATTTTTAATTAAATCTATTACTGAGAAATAACAGCCTTTTACTTCACACACACATTGCTTCTAGGACACCACCTCCCCCTGTTAACCAGCTTTACACATCACCTTCCTTGATTCCCCTATGCCCCCTGGTTTTCACAAGCCATGGATTCTTCTCCAGCACTTCTATATGCCTCTCCGTGGTTCCAGTCAGCAGTGCACATGCAATGGGGAAGCAGCACAGTGCAATGGAGAAAAACGTGGGAGGCAGTGAGATGCCTGCACAGGTCCCTGCAGCCTCTGCTTATGTGCTCGCGGGGACCTTCTGCAGGCCAGCTATGACATAAGAGAGAACTGCAAGATCTTTGAGATCCAGCCAAAACTCTCCTTTCTTTTGCATCTCATCAATTGAGATTCTGTTTGTTTTTTTTCTTCCTGGTATACAATAATAAATTGAAAAGAGCCTAGGTAGAAGTCAGCTCAGCATCCCTGCCAGAGGTAATGACCTACTCCCCTTCTCTGTCTCAATTTGATCTCTCCCTTAGGACTCAGGAACTGATATATGATGAATAAAATCCAGAAGCAAGCTGTCCACCAATGAAGAAATACCTTAGTAAAACCAGTACAAAGTGACTATTAAGAATAGAGAAGGTAGGGGAGGATGGGGGTGAGGAGTAAGAGATCAACCAAAGAACTTGTATGCATGCATATACTGTAAGTATAATCAATGGACACAGACACTAGGGGCATGAGGGCATGTACTGGGGGGTAGGAGTGACGAGAAGAGGTCAATGGGGGTTAAAGGAGACCTATGTAATACTTTAAACAATAAAGAATTAAAGAAAAAAAAAGAATAGAACTAATTCACAATAAAGTCAATAGCCTCCTGTTAACTATGCTATAGACAGAAAACAAAAAATGTTTAAGCATTAAATAATACTGAAAGGATGAAATCTACAAAAAAAATTATATGCTTTTGTAAGGAAATACAGTGAGTATACTTACCCTATTATCTGTTTTTTCTGAGAGAGGCTTGGTACAACTTTCCTGTTCTACATTTTTATTAGCTGGTATGTGGTTTATTATTGGATCCGTATTATTTTCCACGATATCTGAAGCCCTTTCCGCTGTGGAGTCTGGAGAGTGACACGTGGTTCTCTTGGGAACCCTGGTGTCTTCTAGTGCAAGAACTCTTTCTTGATTAACATCTTTTTGTTCTGCCCCTTGTGATTCCAGTGCTTCTGGGGCTTCAGGTTCTGGTGACACAACCCCACAGTTCTCTGAGGTAGCTCCATTCCACTCAAGAAATTTTGAAATCTGTGGGTCATGGTGAGGGACTCTTCTTTTTGAAATAAAACTTGGCTCTCTTGTGATTCCTACAAAATATAGTACACAAAAGTAGCAGATATCAAAGCATAAGGTTACAGAGACAATTTTTAATAACACTTATGAGAAAAGTGAAATATAAAATTCAGTTGAGAATCTAAGCATAGTTTTTCAACATAAAATCTTTAATTTTGCTTTAAAGAAATATTAAAAGTTTGACCATAAAAATACTAAAATTGGGGTCACAATGTTCAAGCTATCCTCACACAGGTCACTAGAACCACAACGTGATGCGCCTGGCAAGTCCAGCAGTACATGCTGCTCCGGCTCTAATTTCTTTCCTGTGCCACTTAACAGAACAATGGGCCCTGGTACTGTCAAAATTCGGAACCATTCACAAAGCTTCTCTTATGCAGAGCAGACCAAGATGAGAAGGGATGGGATGTCATTATGATGGATCCTGGTTCTACATTTGCCTTGATTTCCTGAGAATTAAAGAGAATGAACCCTTTTAACAAGAGCTAAGATACTATTCCTCTATATTTCTATCTGGCAACAAATGTCCAAAAACTTAACCTGCTGCAAGGTAAGAGGAGCTCAGTGGAATGACAGACACTAAGATACTGCCCCAGTTTGGTGTCATTCTTTATATAGAAAGAAGATTATACAGAGTGAGGAAGAAAGATAGACTAGAAGGGAAGGGAAGGAGAAGACGGTGGACAGAAAATCCAGCATGAGGTAAAAACAAAACAAAAACACACCATAGTTCTTTAGCCTCTATCGTGGATGTTCCAACCATTGGCCACAGACAGTCCCCACCCTTTCAAGGCTTCCCTAAACCAGTGGTCTTCAAAATAGATGCATATGTCTGGAGGCATCCTATTAATAAAAGCCTATGTGGTCGTGACACCCTCACACCATAACGAGTGATCACCAGGAGGCTGTGTGCACAGCAGGCGCGCGCGCGAGGATGGGGCTGCATGCACTTGTGGATAGCGGGTTCCATGGCTCCACACAGGTCTAAGGCAGGTCCTGCGGCTCCAGCCTCCCTTTTTGGGGCAATCCACTGAGGAGTCCCGGATAGGTGGGCAGGGCCTACCCTATGGGGCGATCAATCACAGGGCTCCTGCACAAATTTCACGCACCAGGCCTCTAGTATATAGATATTCTGCGCGTGGGGGAAGAGCGTAAACAGAAATGGGAAGCTTAAGGAAATCATTATCCAGATCCTAACTTCCATATGTTACTTCCTGACACTGATCTGCCTAAGAGATGCACCTGCCATCTATACTTTTATTTCCCATCACACCTTTCATAATCATCCTTTTCCCACTTCACAAAAGAAAAACTTCTCAACCAGCCTCAGGAATTAAAACTATCTCATAGGTAGGAAAGGAACAATTCAAGAGAACATAAATCCTGGCAGCAAAGCAAAGAAGGCAGAGATCAGAAATAACAAAGGAGCCATGCCTTACTTCACCCAGCTCCACATCTTTTCCATCTACCTATCTTAAATTAAAATTCAGGTGTGGAGGGTCATCAAGTGAAATGAATATATGCATATTAACACATTTATTTGCATTGAAAAGTTAGACCTCTTTTTTCTCACAGAAAATAATTTTGATTAGTTTTGTCAAGGACTAACTTTACCAATTATATCTATGATCAACATTTACCATAAACTGAATGAGCTAAATTGGAGTAAAATACACCAGAAATCACATTTTTTCAACTTTATCACACTTATGATAAAAAATAAATAAATACCAACTTAATAAACCAGTCAATGAAAGAGAAACACCACATGACCTCACTTATTTATGGATGATAAAGAACATTATAAACTGAAGAACCAAATGATAGATATAGAGACAGTAAAGCAACAAGCAGACTGTCAAATTACAGTGGGGAGGTTGGGGAGATCTGGGGGAGATAAGAGATCAACCGAAGGACTTGTATACATGCATATAAGTACAACTAATGGACACAAAACTCTGGGGAGGGAGGGCATGTATGGGGGGGGGGGGGCCAAGGGTATATGTACAAAGATAATAATTTAATTTAAAAAATTAAAAATAAATAAATAAAAATAAAATCCCCTCAAAAAAAAATGTGAAGGAATATAAAAACCTTTTAAGTTCTTTTAGGAGTATGAAAACCTGAAGTTTGAAGGCCACTAAACTTTTCTCTGCTTTAACACAGGCGCTTCTGATAGAACAACAAAATAAATGGGGAAGATTTTCAAGTGGCCTGCCCTTATCTCCCAGCACCAGCAAAAACACACTATGGGGGGAAAATACACTTGTTAACAGAACACACACCCAGTCCTAGTTAACACTACTGTTGTTCCTGGCAAACCTCCCACTTTCCTTTATGAAAATCCTGGAGTTCTCACTCAGGCCTCCCCCTTACCTACTATTCTCCATTAACATGCCTCCCTAGACCATTCCTCCTTTAATAATGTACTAGAGGCCTGGTGTACAACGTTCGTGCACTGGGGTGGGTCCCTCAGCCCAGCCTGTGCCCTCTGGCAGTCAGAGACTCCTCAGGGGATGTCCGCCAAGAGGCCCTTGGCCGCGGATGTGGGAGAGGCTCCCACCACCACCCCTGTGCTCCTCAGCTGTGAGCCTCGCTGCTGGCTGAGTGGTGCTCCCCCTGCGGGAGCACACTGACCACCAGGGGGCAGCTCCTGCATTGACCATCTTCCCCCTGGTGGTCAGTGCACATCATAGCGATCAGTCATTCCACAGTTCGATCAATTTGCATATTAGCCTTTTATTATATAGGATCATTATCCAAAGTATCATTTCATTACCTCTCAACCCTCAAACATACCTCATCTAAGTTAAAAGGACATAAGCGGTAAGGGGGAGGCCTGAGGCAACTATTTGGTTACCCAATTTATCTCTAGACCCTCTGTGGAGCATCCATACTATAAGAGAGATTTATTTTCTAAATTAATCTTATCTTAATAAATTTGTAGGACTTCTGATCATTTGGAGAGGATTATGAGCATCACCCTGTCCAAGAAACAGGGACATCCAGCCTTTGAAGTCAGGCTCTGGACAATGGATTCCGACACTTCAAAGGATCCCTAAAAGAGCCACCCTTCTATTCAACTCTTCCCTTTATTTCCCAAACCTAATCGTGGAAACACTCTCATTTTACTATTTTCCCAGGCCTGGCACCCACTCAAGCCTTTCCTTCTCCTGACTCAAAACATCTAACATTTGAGGAACTTATCTACCACACATCAGGCACTTTCACCTTACACATATGAGGCACCAAGCATTCATCTGTATGTATGGGTCTGACCCTTAACAGGCAACAGCTCATTTACTCCCTCCCAGCCTGGGAAGACTCCTCCCCAGGCTTGTCTGTGCAATGTGCTTCCTAAGTCTCAATTGGTGAAACAGGCCAAATTTTCCCACGGTCACATAGCTGATGTGTATTCAAACTCAGGCTTATTCGTTCATTCAGAAATCAGTGTGTCAGGTACTGTGTGGTAACAAGGCGGTGAAGACAGACTGTCAAAGCGCTGCTCTGGGATTTTATACTCTAATGAGGGAGAATTAAGTAAGCCGGTAGAATAGTCAGTCTCTTTCCCCCTCTGCCACACTCCGGAAACCTTGGCCCAGGGCTCTGACTTCCTTGGTACAAAGGGAGGAAGCATGTATGATGACAAGAATGTGGCTTCTGAACTCATGATTTTGAACAGTACAGGCGTGATTTCAAATCATGGTCCCATCATTTACTAGCTGTGAACCTTGGGCAACATCACCGATCTAAGCTTCAATTCCTCAATACCTTGGGAATACTCCTCCCCAGGCTTGGCTACTCTGTCTTCATATATCAGCTATAATAGCCAATCTAAAGTATATTTCCTCCACTCCATCCCTCCCCAAACTTATCTATCATGCTCGCCTACAATTTAAAAAAAAACAACCTGAAATCCCCTAGCTTACTTAAATAATTTACTTGTTCTGCTCTTCCCTAAATTTAAGGGTCTTTGTCTAGTTTGAGACTATTTCCCTAGAAGCTAGAAATGGTCCTGGCCTATAGTAAATCCTCAAAAATATATATATTTGTTATATAAACGAATGCATAAGTCAACCAGGCAAACTGATCCAATTTTCACAATGTTTTAATCATTTTGCAAACTTACCCCAAGGCTTATTCAAGGAATAATGACTATTAATTTCCCCAACTTACCTATTTGATCTGACCTAAGTCCAGCCCATGGGTGCCTTCGACCCACTGAGCTATTGCAGGCCTCTGATAAGTAGGATTTTTTCCACAGAAAGTTCCTCTGGTATTCACTCAGCCCCTGTAACGCAACGTACAATTTGAGTACAATGTTAATTAATGAGCGTTGTTTTAAAGAAGGCATCGGTAAAAATCATTTCTGAATCTCTAAAAAGGTTTGCAAGACTTAAGGGGGACGGTTAAACAAAGAAGCGCTCCTTAACCATAGCTAATATTTACCGAGCTCTGTGCTAAGCAGTTCACAGGCCTTCTATCCTTTAATCCTCACAACCACTTGAGGCAGACGCTAGCAGGAATCTGAGACTCCGGCTGCCTGATCCCAAAGCCTGAGCTCTTCCCTAAAAACAGTGACAATCGAAAGCTCATCGCCATAATGATCCTAAGGAAGGTCTCGAGGAGTACGCCATATTATGTGTCATGCCTAGTACTTTTGAAAATGTTGTCAAGTAAGTCAATTGAAGAAAGACAAATCCCCCTCCCCATCTGGATACAAATCCTTAAGACACAAAGCTAAGGCGGTCAGGGTTGGAGGGAAAGCTTGGCCAAGCGTCCCGGTGAAGGATGCCGGACCCTGTCAGCCGTCTAGAAATGTGAACGAACCAAATGCACGACGACGCATAATGTGAATTTCTCACACTCCCATCTTTATCCTGTCCAGGTCCCATGTCTCAAAGCCTGTAAAAGACATACGCACTGTAAAGCGTATATCTTTTACAGGCTTTGAGACATGGGACCTGGACAGGATACGGGGGAGGGGCGTTACATGCTACACTGGGTGGTGGGCCGCAAGTGTCCCGATCTGAAGCCCATTCTAAGGCGCTCTCCCTCCATCTCCACGGAGCCTCCCGAACCCATCTCAACACCATCCGACTGGACCACATGGTACGTCGGGAGTGAGTGCGAGCGGAGAGGGAGCTGGGTAAGAGGAGACGAGCATCCTCCTGAGCTGTGGCTGGCAGGCAGGCTCGGAGGCTGGCAGGTTCCGCGGGTGCCGAGAGGCGCGGCGCAGAGAGCCAGCGAGGCCGCCACGCCTCGCACCCGCCCCGCCACGGCCCCCCCTTCCTCCACCCCCCACCCCATCAGCCTTCGGGCCCGCGGACCCCGGCCTCACCTTGAAGCGTGCCGGCATGTCGCCCGGCCCTGCAGCCCCCCGCACCCCGACAGTTAACGGGACCAAAAGCCCCGAGGGGGCGGGGCAATAACAGTCCGTTTCCTAGCAAAACCCTCGGCCCGGCGTCCCCGACTACGCGCCGGCGCATTCCGCGCTTCCCTCCTTGAGCCCCGTAGCTCTGCCTTTCCCCGCCCTCTCGGAGGCCTCAGAACCAATAGGAATTTGGGAAACTGTTTGCTGTCATTAAGATTTCACCAATCGATGCGCGGGAGGGGGACTCCCGCCTCCCGTGACAAATCCCGAGGGCGAATAGACACGGCGGGCGCAGGGCCAGCCAATGAGGTTCCCGGAACCGCGGTGGGCGGGGCCCCGCGGGAGCTTCGTCTGGAAAACAGCTCTGGGGCTGCAGGTTCCGCGGTTCCCGCGCCACAATGGGGGTCGGTGCTGGTGAAGAAGTCCGGGAGTCGCAGGCCTCGCCGGGCCAGGGTCCTGACGTCATAAGGCGGAAAGGTGTGTTCTTAGTTCTAAAATGTATGACGGAACCGAATGTTTGTTTTTCTGAAATGAAAGTGATCAGGTCTTCTCCCATGTTAGGCTAACTTACTGCCACACCGAAAGGGACAGGCCAAAAAAATAAATACAACTTAGGCAGGGTAAAAAAATATATATATATTTTTTATTAAATCTTGGAAAACAAACTGCTGATGGCCAGTGGTGTTCTTGCTTCCTCCAATGCCCCCTCAAAAAACAAAAAACAAAACAAAACAAAATGTACATAAAACTCTATCATTAGAAAACGTTAATTAATGATGCTTGTGTGTCTCACTGTCCCTCCCCCCCCCCAACCCTTTTTTAAAAATTCAATTTCATTTTAATAGACTTTAATATATTCTACGATTGACAGAACACCGTGCAGACCCTGAGAATGGGAAAGAAAGAAATCGTGTAGGTAGTTCTCTAATATACTTGAGGAGTATTAACAAATATTTATTGAATAAAAGTATAATGCATCATGTGGTAAGTTTCCAAGTGACTGGTATAAGTGATAAGGGCTATCAGAACTGGAGGAGGGAGTCGCCCCATTGGCAGAGATGATTAGAAAATGTCTCAAGGAGAAATATTTGGACTCAGCCTTGAAGATCAGAAGGGCCGAAATAAGTAAAGAGGGAAATGCCACAAAGGGCAGATGGCTGAAGGCACCGAGGCAAGGCCTATTCCAGGAGCAATGAATGCAGCGTCTTTTACTTTTGTCATTTGTTGACTGAAGGAAACTTTCAAATATTAATTACCAATCCTTGATGCTTTTTTTTTAAAGCATGTTCTGCAAAGGCTTGTCCTCCTGAATCCTGACTGATGTCTGTTCTTCCTCATCACTAAGATCCTGAAAAATTCATTTGAAGGATCCACCTGATGTATCCTGGAAGCAAAGAGAATATTAAATTATTCCCAGTGTGCCATGCCTGCAGGGGGCCCTTGAAAAATGTTAATTGGTGATGATAGCATCTCTACCATGTAAATTAAGAATGGCACAAACAAGACACTGTGGAACTTAAAACAAAAGGCAGCACAGATCTCACAGAGGAGGGAAAACAGAGCTCTGGTTGAACACAGCTTTGTGACCGAGTGATGCCACGGTGAAATCAGTAAAAGCAAGCCTGTGGGGGGTAGCCCGGCTACTAAACAAAAGCAATGATAACTTCAGTAGTAGAGCTCTCCGGAACAGGGAATAAACGACCAGAAAAATGTAACAGCAGACGGTAAAAATAACTTAGTCCCAACCTGAATTTGCTAATAGGTCTCATAGGGAGAAGACTATTTTATTTCATTTTAAAATATATATTTTACTGATTTTGTACAGAGAGGGAGAGAGATAGAGAGTTAGAAACATCGATGAGAGAGAGTCATCCATCAGCTGCCTCTTGCACACCCCCTATTGGGGATATACCCGCAACTAAGGTACATGCCCTTGACCGGAATCGAACCCGGGACCTTTCAGTCCCCAAGCCGACGCTCTATCCATTGAGCCAAACCGGTTTCGGCTATTTTACTTTATTTTTAAATGAAAGTCTACCCCAACTCTTTGAGACAAAGATGTAGAAATAAGGAAAAGGGACAACCTTAGCAAATGAGAGTTTGTAGCCTGTTTCACCGGCTCTTACCTTTGCCAATACTGCAGGAAACAGACCCAGTACACTAGAAGGTTCCACCCCAAGTCCTCACCTGTGCTTATAGCTACCACATATACTGTACCCAGCAGCACTGCCAATAGACGTGCTATTCTGATAGCCACACATCTGTAGATGTCATTCTTGCTGCTGGCCCCCACAGCCACTCTTACTACACTTACTAGGTACTAAGTCTCCCTCTGCACAGCATGAAACCTCCTCAAACAGCTCAACCCTGTTGGTGATCTGAGGCAAGTCTCTCTCCCTTTTTTGTGTTACCTTCTATAAGTGAGTACCAAAGTATTGAAAGTAACTTTTTCCAATTGTATTTTTCCTCCCTTCTCTCCAAAGGGAAGTCCATGGAGTCTAAGCCAGAAAGTAATTCCTCAAATGATAGATCTCCTTCAGTACTTAGATGAGCTCTCTTCCACCAGTTAAGGTCCTCTTACTGGGACAAGCGCACCTGCTATACCTGGCTCCCTCATCCATGTGTTAATTTCTCTGTTTCTCAGACAAATTTGTTTATTGCCTTCAAGAGACTAGATTGGTACAACCTCTATAAAGAGAAATTGGGGGGGAAAGCAAAAACAAACAAAAAACAAAAACAAGAGTAACGGGGCAATCCTTTTAATTCAGCAATTCTACTTTTATAACTTTATCTTGGAGATATTCTTGCCCAGATGTGAAAAAATCTTCATTTGAGATTATTTGCTGTATTGTCTACAGTAACAAAAGTTAAAAACAACATACTTTAAATATCCATCTGCAGGGGACTAGTTAAATACATTATGGTTTCTTTAGGATCCAGAGTGAGAACCAGCAGGTCCACATGCCAGTGCAGGCTGCTCTGCTCCTCCAGATCTTTTGACCCTGCAGATTCAGGGATGGACCCCTGCTGTGGAGTTGGACCCCCTTCAGGTCTTAAGTACCATCTTCATCAGGATCCAGCAGGAAAAAAAGAAACTGCCACAAGCATTTCAACAAATAAAACATAATGTAAGCTATTAGTTAATTAGTTACTGGAGAACTTTAAAAAGCTAAAGGGAGAAAGAAAACATAGTAATTCCAGGAAGCAGCTCACTCCCCTGAGGCTGGAAGAACAGAAGGAAAATGTTGAAATTAGTTGAACACCGAGGTTTGCTGGAGAGGCCTCATGAAGTTGGTCCGCTCTGAGAAGGGGTCACTGCTTAGCTGGTGCTGGTGCCTCTGAAGGGACAAAAGGAAAGACCAAAAAGAAAAAAGGGGTGGGGATGGAGAACTATCCACCCTGGAATAAAAGGTTATTGATAAGGTGGTACTGAGATTTAAAAAAAAAAAAAAGTGTATTCAGTCACTAGTGTCCCCTCTTAGCAGACCTAACAGGGTGGGATCTAAAAAAACAAAAGCAATGTTAAAAAGTGTAACACTATACCATAAGTTTGGGTAAAAGAAAGATGAAGATGAGAAAAATGATAAAGTGACATCATCCACAGATAACTTTCCCTCGCTCTCATGAGTCTAACACCATTAGCAGTAGCTATAAAGATGAAAAACATTTTATTCAACTTGTAACTATTATATATGGAAACTTGAAGATATCGGTAACTATCATTAGTGGCCATCCTCTTTACATAACTCCTTCCATTGAGCCTTTTCTAAATTGGCTTTCATTTATTCCTTCTTTAAGAAAAATACGTATCAAAGTCCTTTAAAGCAACTTTTATTTGCACTTGAAATATAAACCATTCTATGAATAACATGAAGTCAATCACATCACAAATCTAATAATATCTTTTTATTTTCTCAAAGCAATTGAAACATTGGATAATATGTATTTGCCTCTAACTATATATTTCATTTTATTTAACAAACAAAAATGTATTATAGATAAGCAAAAACATTGTCAGACTACAAGGGTTGAAAGAAAATATGCAAAGATAAGTTGAGACACAGCCCCTGCCTTCAGATCTGATTGCAGTCATTTTAGGGGGACAGACACAAAGACCACAGGAAATGGATAGAAAGAAGGAAGCAAGGAAGGGGCTAATGTGAGCACCCTCCTATTCTGAAGATGCTTTTAAATCTAGTGCCAGAAAGTTTGATTTAAGACAGGACTCAAAAGCAGACAGGATAAGGGAGCTGCTTTTCAATTCCACCCTGGGAAACACCTGATCTAGAGGACCTTTCACTTTCTCTTTTGTTCTGCCCTAGATAGCTGAATCCAGGCCAGATGATCCTGGGGAAGATTTAACTAACTTTTTCTCAATATTGGTTCCCAACAAGGCAAATTACTTGCTGTTTGTTGTCTCCTATTTCCTTATTGTTTCAGAGTAAAGCAATTTTAGAAACTACAGTTTTCTTAACATTTCAGCCTGTATTTGCATGCATATGATTTTCTCTGAGATACCTTATAAGGTAACTTGAAAATTCAGTTTCCAGGCTTGGGAAAGCTCTTGAACTATTCTAGGCTCACACTTAACTGGAGTTTCCTTGGTAAATCTTGAGCCCAGCCTTTGCCAAAAAGCAATCAGTCTGTGCACATTTTCTTTGTTTTTCCGTAGGTATTAACTTCTTTCTCCCCCATTGATTGGATTTGTGATTGCACAATTTAAGAAGAAGAAAAAAAGACAAAATCAACAGATTCTTTTTCAGAAGCAAAACTGCTGATATTGTATATTAATGTTGGTAAGAATACACAGGGTCCGTGACTAAGACTGACCACTGAGCCCAGTGCAATTTGCCTCCACACCTATAGCTATGGATTGCCTTTGTTGACAAAGAAGTATCTGCACTTTAAATTCATAGGGTACCTTTTAGAAAGACTCTAGGTTCTCTCGACAGCTTAGATGTGTGTGTGTGTGTGTGTGTGTGTGT